CCTTTTTTCTAACATTTATTTGTATATTTATTCTTAAAGTTTTCTCCCAAATCTTTGGAAATAGTATAGTAGTCATGTGGTTCTAAAATATTTTCAGAGATTTAGCAAAACTAAATTGGAAAATCTTCCAGTTATGTCTACAAGTATTATGCAGGTGTTACCAGTTTCTGGTCTTTTGTTTTCATGTTCAGATAATTCAGAACTTTATAATTTGCTGATTTAGATGCATTTTTCAACTCATTATTAAAATATTTTTGACTGAGAAATTATGTATTTTAGAACTACCCATTATTATGTCAGTTTTAACCTTCATTTTATGTTTAATATACTGTATATGCATGTTGCATTTTAATTTTTACCCTCATATTTAGTCCCAGTACAAGACATAATAAATTAGCTCAGGAGAAAGAATAAATTACTTTCTCAATTTTTGATGATCAGAGCAATCATCCTTTTTTATTAATGCTCTGTAATATCTATCAGAATCATTTAGAACATTTTTATGGGAATGAAGCAGAATGACTTCATATTTTAAGTAAAAACTTTTTAAACTTGGGCCATATTTTTGAACAGCAAACAACTTCTGGTGCTTGTACGTTGTCAAGATTTAGAAGTTTGGTATATGTCTTATGAAAATAATACTAAGCATTTAGGAACAGGTGCTACATTTAGATAGTCTTTTCCATTATCTTTAGGAACTACAAATAAAGTCTTTAAAACAGATTTTTAGAATTTTTCTGTAAACCCTGAAATCTTTCATTTGATGATGAGACATTTACATTGACAGAAAATATTGAAGGTCTTTGTGCAGCCAGTTACTTACAGGTTTTTGAACACTGAGATTCCTATTGTAATTACTTGGCTGTGTTGCAAATTCTTATGGAACTAGGTATCATAAAAATAGTTGTGATTATTATTTTTCTGTAAAATTGAATTTAAAAGGAAACAGTGGTAAGAAATTTCCTAATGACTCATAGGTGGTAGAGTCTCATTACAAAATTGTTTTAATAATGTTCTGCTTTTTAAAAAAAGGTTCGGTTTATTTCACTGTCCATTATCACCCAAGGGGAGATAAAGAGGATAATGAGAGATAAGAACATTTTTGAAAATATTAAACATATTCAAATTCAAAATGAATTTTGTTGCACTTGGCAAAACACATTAAAAGTGAAATTTGCAAAACAAAATTAAGATTGTTGTAACATGAAGAATTACTTTGAGAGTATTGAGTTTTTATAACATGAATTTTCAGTGTGCATTGAATTATTTCAGAAATTTATGTACAGCTTTTTAAGAAAACATCTATTTTATAAAGACAGTTTCCTTATCATAGTTATTATTCTACATGTACATATTAAGTGTTCAGGGAATCATTAAAAGTTTGATTTTTGTTTTTTGTTTTAGAACTCCTGTTTTTAGGCATGGTGTATTACAATGATAGCTGTTTGCTTGTTAGTACAGTGTGATAAACCATACATAGTAGCTGAAGGTTGGATTTTTTTCCCTGCCTCTTCAAATCTGTTTTTGAAATTTATTCTGTAAATGAGAACCAGGCATGGTGGCACACACCTGTAATCCTAGCTACTCAGGAGGCTGAGGCAAGAGGTTTACAAATTTGAGGCCACCATGGGCAGCTTAAGAAGATCCTGTCTCAAAGTAAAATAAAAAAGAGCTAGGGGAGAACCGGGGATTTAGCTCAGTGGTTCTGCCACTTGTCTGGCAAGTGCAAGGCCCCAAGTTCGATCCCGGGTACCAAAAAAACAAAACAAAACAAAAGAGCTAGGGGTGTAGCTCACTGGAAGAGTACTTGCCTAGCACGCATGAAGTTCTGGGCTCAGTCTATAACTCCCCCCTATGTACATACTTGTGCATGCATGTGTACACACAAAGCAGAACCAAAGTTCCACACATGATTCATGGCACCATTAGGGTCTCTGATCTTTTCATGGCACCCATAGAAAGAAATACCTAACAGCTTCATTTATTAAGCAGTTAAGTTTAAACAACTTAAGCTAGTGTCCATTAAAAAAATAGTACATACAAATTAAAAGAAAAATGTTTTCATTTTATCCTTAGCCACAGTTCATAACTGCTGGGTTACGTGTAACTCTTTGACAATGTACAGCTTCTTTGACTTTTGAATCAGATTGCACAGTACCTCCTGCCTTGCTATTCTTCATCATTTCCTTATGTATACTTCTTTTTTATCATAGCAGCTAACAACACCTAGGTTTGTAAAGATAATGATGTCACTGAAAGGATGGTAGTGTGATCTAATTGGAACTGTGAATAATCTTTCAAGGTATCCAGCATATGTACTCCTTGCTGAATTTTTTCTCAGAAATTCTCATTGCACTTCTGTGAGTTAGCTGCTGCACTCTGGGGTGACTTGATGTATTGTTTGAGAAGTGTGACCATATGGCCATAAATATTTATTAAATGCCTACTTATGCTCCATGCAATGCAGACACAATGCTTAGGAAGAAAAGCCTGGTCCCTGAGCCAGAAGCGGTACCATATGTCACTTGGGAGACTGGAGCAGGAGAATCATGAGTTAGAGGCAGGCCACCCTGGGCTGCATAGTGCATCCCAGCCCAGCCTGAACCACATAGTGAAATCTGTCTCAAAAAAGAAAAAAAAGGACAGGCAGACCTGGTCCCTAGCCTCATAGAGCTTAAAGTCCATAGGTCAGTGGTGGTGAACCTTTTAGTAGTATAAACATACAACTGTATTGAGTTTTGTGAAAGAAAAGCACTTTACAAGGATACCTAACCCTTGGGAAGGAGAATTCAGTCATCTTAACAAATGTTACTGTTTCTGTATTCATAATATATATGCTCCATAAATAAATGCTAGTATGTTGTTTTGTTACTTATTTTTTCTTAGGTCACTCTTTTCCAGAATAAATCTGAAAATTCTTAGCTGTTAAATTGAATTTTACTCCATTAGGTTAACTCCTTTATGCTTGATACTATTTGGTGTAAAGAAAAGTGAGAAACAGCTTGTATATAGTTTTTAGGCAGTAAAGGTTTTCCCATTTGTAACTAGTAACAGCATGTAAGAAATACATCTTTTTTTGTTTAGAGTAACAGTTACATTTAAATCTAGGAACAGTCAAGGCTGCCCTGAACTAGAATGTCTGAAAATATAACTGTTGAACAGAATATAATTTATGCCCTTTGAAGAGATAAAGCAACTGAAGCATGAATTTTATTTCATTCAAGAAATTATTGCCCTGAGTAATTCCAAAACTTTGCCTGTTTTATTTGTATCAGCTGTGTGATGGCAAACAAATCAAGGTAAAGCACAGGACTGGTATTACAAGGACAAGTTTAAGTCACTTACCCAAGTTATTTTAGTCCTGAGATTTTGGTGATAGACTCATATAGAGATGAACTCCAGAGGAGCTTGGGTGCTGATCTCCTTTCTACAGGTTGGGATGTTTAAAAAGTAATCACACATCTGAATTCTAAACAGTATTTTAAACAGAAATTTCCCCCATCACAGGTGTTCTTTAAAGAAATTTTCCTATATATTTTGGAAACTTCTACTAGCTCATTTGATCACAAATGGATGGTTATTCAGACACTAACAAGGATTTGTGCAGGTATTTGAAATTGTCCTCCTTTTTTATCTCATTATGAGTTATTTAAAAGGTTAAATAATAATTAGATGCATTTTGTTAAAATTAATATATTGTTACAGATGCTCAGAGTGTAGTGGATATTTATGTAAACTATGACTGTGATTTAAATGCTGCAAATATATTCGAAAGACTAGTAAATGATCTATCAAAAATTGCTCAAGGAAGGGGCAGTCAAGAACTTGGTATGAGTAATGTTCAGGTAAGAACTTTAAAATTTTTTAAATTTAAACTACCAAGGAACATGCATGTGTTTTTCTTAAAGGGTCTTTCTTGTTTTTATTCTATTTACGAATTATAGGAATTGAGCTTGAGGAAGAAAGGTTTAGAATGCTTAGTGTCAATTTTGAAGTGTATGGTTGAGTGGAGTAAGGATCAATATGTGAATCCCAACTCTCAGACGACTCTTGGTAAGGTAACATTTTGAGTTATATGTCTTAAAATTTTTCATCATTTTAAGAAAAACTATTTTGGAGGGTAGTTGCAGATGACATTAATTTCATGACATGTTTATTCATTTATCTGTTAAAAGCATTCCTTATGACTTAAATACTATAACCAGCATTAAAGTTATTACCAATTTAGGGCCAAGGAAGTAGCTCAGTAGTGCCATGCCTGGCTAGTAAGTGGCAAGACCCTAAGTTTTATTCTTGGTACCAAAAAAAAAAAGGGAAAAGACCTCTCTCCCCTCAAAAAAAGAAGTCCCTTAAAAAATTATTCCTAATTTAGAGTTTTGGTTTTTTGTTTTGTTTTGTTTTTGCAGTACCGGAGATCAAACTTAGGATCTTGCGCTTATGAGGCAGGCAGGGCGCCACTTGAGCTAAATCCCCAGTCCTTTTGTTTTTGAGATGGCATCTCATTATATTAAGCAGTCTAGCCTCAAATTCACTGTCCTCCTGCCTCCCAAGTAGCTGGGATTATAGGCATGTGCCACCATTTCCAGCTGAAATTATTTCAGTTTTTAAATTTAGTTATTCTAGCAATATAGCGATTATGTTTTAAGAAGGTTGAGTTATCTGTGTTTGATGTTTACTCACAACTTTGGGAAAAACTCAAAGCTTCAGGGCTATACTAGTGTTATCATAACTAAGAGTCCTATGAGGGAAAAGTATTCCCCATGAAGCATGAGCCAGGAGCAAAACTCCAGTGGATACAAAGCACTGCAACTGAAAAAAAGTCCTGATATGTGCAAACTATACACTGTGCTTTTGTACCACGGTGTGCTTTTTAAGATCATACTGTTTTAATATTTGTGGTTTCAATATCAAAGTATATTGTTTATTATAGCACCTCATACATTATTTGCTTTAAGTAGTTATCTAAAGAACATTGAAATACCTTGTCTCAAGACAATAATATGTTTTCCTTTTCACTTTTATTTCTTTGACAGAATATAGCAGTGTCCTCCCTTACCAGTGGTTTTACTTGACATGGTTTTGGTCATCTGCAGTCAACTGCAGTCTAAAACTGTTAATGGAAATCCCAGAAATAGTTCATAAATTTTAAATTGCCCACTGATTAGTATGATAAAGTCTCAAAACATATCTCTCCATCTTTCTTGGGTTATGAATCATCCTTTTTCCACTATGTCTGTGCTGTGTATGCTACCTATCCATTACTCAGTTAGAACCCTTAATTATCAGATAAACTGTCATGGAATTGAGATGTTTATGTTCAGGCAACTCTTATTTTACTTAATAATGACCCCAAAGCATAAGAGCAGTGTTACTGGAAAGTGGGATATGCCAAAGAGAAGCCGTAAAGTGCTTCCTTTAAGTGAAAAGGTGAAAGAAAAATCTCAATAAGGAAAGAAAAGTAATCATATGCTGAAGTTGCTATGGTTATTAAATGCTGTTATTGATTTCTTATTGGGCCTAATTTATAAATGAAATGTTATTATAGGACTGTATGTATAGGAACTATATATATAAGTACCATTGAAGGTTTTAGGCATCCACTAGGGGTCTTAGAATATATCTCCTATGGATAAGGAAGGGACTATTGTAATATATTGTATCAATTTTTCTTCTTACAGGTCAGGAGAAACCCTCAGACCAAGAGATGAGTGAAATCAAACACCCAGAGACAATAAACAGATACGGAAGTTTAAACTCCCTGGAGTCAACATCATCATCAGGAATAGGCAGCTACAGTACACAGATGTCTGGGACTGATAATCCAGAACAATTTGAGGTCCTAAAGCAACAAAAAGAAATAATAGAACAAGGGATAGATTTGTAAGTGTCAGATTTTTAGAAGAAACATTACTGAATATTCCTCTCCTAATTATTTTCTTATTACCACTTTTCAAGAAGTAAAATGGGAGGTAATTCTCTTGGATTCAAGAATTCTAAGGGCTCTTTATTCAGCTACCCTTCTTCATTGCAGTGTAGCCCAAACACTCTTTCCATGCCTAGCCTCCATATATTGTGTGCTGTTGATGAACGTCATCCGTGCAGTGCATTGTTCATTTAACACATTTATGAAATTTTCCATTATATTTCCTAATCAGAGGACAATGCAAAAAGTTCTAAATATGAAATTTTTAAACATTTAAGCATTGCTCCTTTCTAGATTTTGTTTCCTCCAGTTGGGTTAAAGTGTCCTACTACTGTTAGTGATTTAGTGATATACTCTGTTATTTATTTCATTTTTATATGTTGATAAGGTAAGATTTCCCTTTCCAACCTGGTTACTGTGCCAGAACCTGATCTTATAAAATCTTTTATTTTCCTCTTTCTTCCTTTTTTTCTTTCTTTTTTATTTTTTGCTAAGTGTGATATAGTCTGGTTCTTGGACTGTTTGCTGTGTGAATGCCACCATGCCACTATTCCACCTTCATTCCTCTTGTCGCCCTCTCTTCTTTCAAAGAGATGCACTAAGGAAGAATGAAATTGCTAGCCTTTTATCACAGGTCTAGCAACTATAAACTATTTTTTAAAAACCTCTTGTAGGTTTACTTGGTTTGCAACTTCCACTTTAAAGCATTTTTTCTGATATTTTAGCCTTGCCTTTTCCTGACCAGGTATCTTTTCGCAGTGTTAATGTGAAAAAAGTGGCAAAAATGCAAGGTCCTGGTAACTTGGAACTCTGGGCCAAGCACCCTGAAGACTGGTCCCCATATTCAAGATTATATACAGTATAATCTAAATATAGCCAAAATATTTTTTTTAAATAGTACTGTGTAACGTCTATAAAAAAGTGCTGCCAATGTATGATAACTGTATGTGAAGTACTTGAGGAGTGAGGGAATAGTCACAGGGCTTCAAAGTTGACTCTTACGTATCTTTCATTCCTTTCAGCCCCTGGACTTGATTTTTTTATGTTCATGTAGCGATTAAGAAGAATGCTTTCGTGGAGTTGTGTGGAGTTGTGTTCTGGTATATCCTCCGTAGCTGTTCCTTTCATGACACCACTGTATCCTGTTTACCTCCTGCCTTTCTGACCATGTCATCTAAGCCTATTTGGGCTGGTGTTTTTTTTTTCTGCATACATCTTAGCATCACCCAGGGTTTTGTCCTTAGCCCATTTCTTACTTTGTATCTTTTCCTAAAGATACATGATCAGGTTTTTTCGTGGCCTCACCTATTTGTTTGCTAATATCTTACAACTCCCAAGGGTTGTTATTTTTAACATAAACACCTCTACAGAGATCCAGATTAATCTCTCCTTGTCTATTAGAATCTCCACTGGATACTGCAGTTTGTCACCCTCAGCTGGTCTGTAACACAATTGATTAGTCTCTGTTCAACCGCTCGATACTACCAGAAACCAAAGACAAACAAAATCTGCTTGTTTCTAAATTTAGTATTTAGGCTAATGACCCCAGCATGCTTCTAAATTTATAAACTAGAGTCATGAGAGTTAGCTTAGATTTTTTTCCTCTCACTTTTGGATCTAATTTGTCACTTTGTTCTGTTGATTTTATTCCTGAATATTTTGGCAGTGCGTTCTATTTTCTCCATCTTTTACAAGCTGTTCTTACAAGTCAAACCATCACTACTTCTTGCCTTGACGAATAAAACTTTTTAGTTGACTTCTTGTTCATTCTGCAGGCTCTTTCACATTTAATTAGGATAATTTTTCTTGAGTGAGTTTGTTTCTGTTTCTCCCTTATCTTGCTCTTAGAGAATAAAGCCAAGGTTTCTTGTGATAGCAGATAATACCTTGAGATGTGGCATTGTTGGATTCTAAGCTTCATTCCTCACCATTCGTGTTTCACCTCATTGTTCTAACTTGTAAATTTGTTTATTATTATATCATGCCGGTTTATGCTTTTATATAATAGTATGGGTTCCTCTCCATCCAGGATGTTTTTCTTTTTTCTTTTTTTTCTTATAAAAAATGTAATCAGTTCCAGAATCATATTACCCATCTCAGTTATTAATCACCTCTTTTGCTGTGACATGTTCTTACTTTTTGAATAAATGTTTTTTGTTGCATTTTAAAAATTGATTAGAGTTTCTAGAAACTTAGAGTTAGAGTTTCTAGAAACTGGGGGCATACAAGAAACACTTAATTCAAAAAGAAACTCAGACTGAAAGTTAAAGGGTGGAAAACAATATTCCATGTGACAGGAACCTGAAAAAAAGCAGGAGTAGCTATCCTCTTTGCAGATCAATTGCATTTCAAACCAAAATCTGAAATACTTGTGGTCGCAAGAATTTCAGATAAGGGACAGTCAACTTGTATGTACAAATCTATTGTGAACATCTGTTTTCATTTCTCTTAAGTAAAAACTTAAGAACAGAACTGTTGGTTCTTAACAATAATACAAGAAATTTCTATATTGTTTTCCAAAATGGTTTTATCATTTTACATTCACATTAGCAGTATTAGAAAGTTCTAACTGGTTCACACCTAAGCTGACGTTTGTTCTTTTAAAACCTTTAATTTAATCTCCCTAATTGTTTTAATTATCTTAATATGGCTGTGATTGAATTAGAACTTAACAGGGGAATCATTAGAACAGAACAGGGAAGAACATTCCAGAGAATGATGTGCCCCAGAACCAGAGGAGAGGAAAGACATTTGAAGATTTGTTAAGCGTGACAGGGCAAGGTGGAGGGGGGAGTGACAGAAGGTGAGAGGAGAACCTTGAGTTGAAGGTAAATTACAGAAGCCTTATTCACAAAAGGAACTGTCTTGCTCCTTTTGACACTGGTGTGCGGTTGAAGGGTTTAAGCAGATGTATAGTATCATCAGATTTCTGTTTTGGACTTTGCCAGTGGTCTGAAACATGGACTAGAAGGTGAACAAAATAAGAGATAGGCCGTTTAAGAACTCCTGGCAATAGTCCAGTGATAGGTGATGAGAAATCAAAGTATAATAGAAGTAAGAAGTAAATGATTTGTAAGCACTAAGTGACATTTGACTTGGTTCTTTAAGCATAAGGGAGAGTTCTTCTGTTAATGGAGCCAGTAAAGGGCATGCAGAGGAATGGTCTCTGTCAACTGCATTACGTTTAGGGGATTCTGTCGAATGTATGGGAGCAGTTGAAAGAAGGGGAGATGAGATGAAGCTGAGCTGTACTGAGAAAGGCTGTGTGCAGGTCTTAGTTGATTTGGACTAATGAGCCAAGGCTACTTGAGGATTGAGGATTATATATAGTATATTCAAAGTATGAGATATTTAGTATTCACATCCTTACCAAAAGTTTGCCTACTCTGTGGCATTGTTTCTAATTGTCTGGTGTATCACTGTTGAGGTGGACCAAAAATATACCATACTGCAGGAAAAAGTGTAAAGCGATCCATATCAGCAATAAGGAAGGCTTTCTATTTGAGACTTTTTTAAGAAAACTTGATGCAATGTAATATGTTTGTACTTCATGTTCTGATTACATTAAATATGCTCCTGTTTTCTGAGTGCTATTAGAAAATTAATTTACTATAGTTTAAGACCTTCTTTTCAAGGAATGCAATAAGTTTTTTTTTTAATGTTCCTATTCATCTAGATTTAATAAGAAACCAAAGAGAGGAATACAGTACCTCCAAGAACAAGGGATGCTTGGCACCACACCTGAAGATATTGCCCAATTCTTACATCAAGAGGAAAGATTAGACTCTGTAAGAATATCATTTATTTGGGGAGGTCGATATTATCAAAATATAGTCTATGTATGTATGAAAGCACATTGTATGAAATTAACAATATTTTGTAAAATTAATAGTAATAAAACTATTATAAAAAAATACCATTTTATTACTTTTTTGTAAAATTCCTTTTTAAGTTAATAAAACATTATAGCCCCTTTAAAATCTTTTCCTAAAAAGATAAACAATAGCTTCGATTACACATATAATGTATATTTATGTAAGTATGTAAATTTTGTTTATACATTTTCTAGAGTCAGAATGTCATGGTTTTTTTCACAATAAGTACTTTTAGTACAAGTAACTTTTACCCTTCTGTTTGAAATTGTTAGCCTTGTAGTCAAAAACCTGTGGCTCTTACAGATTTTTTGCTTTTTAAGTGGCTGTGTAGCAAATATAATATGCCATTGGAATGCCAATTTCTATTGTTTTTACTTTAGACTCAAGTGGGTGAATTCCTGGGTGATAATGATAAATTTAACAAAGAAGTCATGTATGCATATGTGGACCAACATGACTTTTCAGGAAAAGACTTTGTTTCAGCCCTTCGCATGTTTCTGGAAGGATTTCGTCTTCCAGGAGAAGCTCAAAAAATCGATCGATTAATGGAAAAATTTGCTGCAAGATACCTAGAATGCAATCAAGGGTAAGATTCAGATGATCTTTTGTTTTTTGTGGGGTGTTTTTTTTGCTTTTATTATTAGTGCCTAGTAGTTTTACAAATTACTGGGTTTCAGATGATTATTGATTGTCAGCTATATCCATAACACTGTGGTAAGAAGCATTTCAAAAATACTAGAACATAATCCCCTTCCCACAGAGAATTTACATTGTCTACTACCTGGAAATGACATGACAAATGCATAAAAAATTTTAAAATGAGGTAGAATCTAAGTCCTGAGATAAATGGTTAAAGAAAATGTGGTATACATATACAGTAGAATATTATTCAGCTGCAAAGAACAATATATTATTTGCAGGAAAATGGATGTTAACTGTAAATCATCATATTAAGAAAAATAAGCCAGACTCAGAATTTTTCTCACATATGTGGAATCTATTAAAAAAAGATTTTTAAATTACAGATTACACGAAAGTAGAAGAGAGACAAATTGGAAAAGAAAATTGGGGGGAAGGGGCAAAAAGAAAGATAAGTGAAAATAAACAAAGTATGTAATATGCACATATGACTATGTTAAAATGAAACCCAGTATTTTGTATAATAGGCACTAATAAAAGAGTGCATTGAGATTTTAGAATACTTAAATGAAACTGTATAAAACCATAAAGTTTATAACATAATACATTTATTTTTTCAGACAAACTCTTTTTGCCAGTGCAGATACTGCTTATGTTTTGGCTTACTCAATTATTATGTTGACCACAGACCTTCACAGTCCACAGGTATTTTTTTATATATCAGATTAAAGTATGAAAATTAAACATGTTCTTTTGAGTTCAGTAAGTACTAGTTGAAAATTTTATTGTATGTAATTAAACCATTTATCAAATTGGTATGTTAAAATTGTACATCTTACAAAAGTAATTTCTAGTAGTAATTCTAATTAAAAGTATAATAATTTGTATTTGTTAATCTCATGATTGACAGGTGTATAAAATCGATAAATTTTTATCTAAAATGATGTTGACAGGTCTTTTGTATGTACTTGTCACAACATGGAAAAACCCTATACATAAACTGTCTTTTGTTTTAATGTTTTGAACTTGAACAATAGAGGGAAAAGTATGGGACCCATTGTCCAGCCTTTGCAGTTAGCAGTTTATGGCAATCTCGTTTTATTTACATCCCCTCCTTCCCCCAGATAATTTTGAAGCAAGCCCCACATAGCATAAATGTCATCTCTATGTGTTTTACATAGCTCTAAAAGAGAAGTACTCTGCTTACACATAACTGCAATACAGTCACAACTAAAAAAAATTTAAAATTTGCAATTTGAGATTAAACTTTACAGTATAAGGATTTTTTGGTGTATTTTCACACAAGGTAATATGAAAAGTATATGCTAACATAAGGAGAAAGGATTGTGTGTAAATTCACTCTTGTTTTAAACACCAGAGTTGAATAACTGTGAATGTACCATAGATGTAGTTGGTTATTTATCATTGTTTTATTTGACACATTGGCATTGTAGTCAAAGCCAGGGCTTTTATTATCTAGCATGATCACTTTTATTCCTGTGGCTTTGTAAGGCAGTCTACAGATAATTTTTATTTAGATGTCATTGTTCCATAGTTTTTAGTCTTATTTTTTAGTTCAAATCATAGAATTTATAATCTAGACTTGCATACTCTTATTTTTTAAAGGCTCTACTTTCAAAGACATTTCTTTTTATAAGCAAATAAGCACCATAATATGTAGCTGTGCCATATGTTCATTTACATATATACATGCTTGTGTCGTTTTGAAGTACACAGAATTGTTAAAACGTTTCTGAACACATAGTTAGACAGCTGTGCCTTGAGAGCAATGTTTTACCTTCAGGGCTGGAGCTCCTGTCTACAAAACATGTATGTGCTTGGGGCCAGTCTGGCAGTAGCAACTGGTTGTTCTCAGACCATTTGTTGTCAGATTTGGTATCATGTGCTGATGTGCAGGCTGCAGTGGTAAAATAGCTTACGAGTTCCTATTAGAAAGTTGCACGTATAATCTTGGGCCCAGGTGATTTATAACTAAGGATCATGTAAACTATAACAAGTGATATCACTTATAATGAATACAGATAACTTTGAAGGAATTTCTTTAAACTAATTTTTGCCATTCTTAATTGCTTTCGAAGTGTAAATTCAGGGGATCTTACATCATTCATGTTCTATAACTAAATATTAATGCTTAGACTACCTTTTCTATATAAGTCAGTGAATTTATTTTTTTTTTAATTTTTTATTTTTTGGTACTGGGGATCGAACTTGGGACCTTGCGCTTGTGAGGCAGGTGGCAGAACCACTGAGCTAAATCCCCAGCCCAGTCAGTGAATTTTTTTAAGATTTGAGGTATATTTAGAATACTTTTTTGTGTGTTTGCATTAATTTTCATCAGTAGTAACAACCAACTTTACATGATTTGAACTCTAAACACAGCTTCATGTAAGCATATGTGAATAAAATTGAAGAGTAGAGTATTTCATAAAAGATATCAAAAGAAGAAAAGTAAATTATGTTTCATACTGCTTCTGAAATCCCACTGTGGCAAAAGTGTACAGTATTCTTTATTTTGGATACCTGAAAACAGTGTATTTTTTACTCATATCTGGGAACCCATACCTAAATGCATAGACAATTAATACTTCATATTTTCTGTCAAGATTTCCTTCTTCTTTCTGATGAACATGAAGCTAAAACATTTTACCATCCTCAGAATTTCCAAGTGATTTTGATTTTCCTTTGCCTCTTATTGGCAGTACTTATGTGGTTTTTTTATTTATTTTTTTTATTTTTTATTTTTTATTTTTGGTACCGGGGATCGAACTTGGGTCTTTGTGCTTGCACAGCAGGTGGCGAAACCACTGAGCTAAATCCCCAGCCCCTCTTATGTGGTCTTTTAATAGGTGTCCATCAGAACTTTAGGTAAAATGATTTGTTTACTTTCATATTTTTATAGTGCTATGACTCAAGATGATTTATAAAGTTGTAATATTATAGAGCTTTAGTTCTTTAAATGATAAGTTTCATTTGAAAAATTCCATGGTAATATTTTTACATTTTTGTAGGAAAAGCACTCCTACTACCCTCCCTGACACATTAGAAGGATTCTGCTTGCATAGTAATGTGGACTTAAAGAACTATGTTCCAACTATGTCCTCTGGGACCAGGGATTTAGCTTAGTGGTTCTGCAATCTGCCTCACAAGCACAAGGTCCCAAGTTCGATCCCCGGTACAACAAAAAAAATCAATTATGTTCTGAACATGATGATTCCTCTAAAATTATTTTTGCAAGCTTCTGATGACTTGCTTGAATATTGTGTATTTTAATGCACATTGTACCAATGCGCATTGTCTTTAAAGTTGCTTTTAAATTCTTTTTTTTTTTGGTATTGGGGATCGAACTTGGGAACTTGTGCTTGTGAGGCAGGCACCAGAACCACTGAGCTAAATTCCTAGCCCTGCTTTTAAATTCTTTATGAAAGATGGTGGGAGTATTTAATTAAATAAATATCTCTTCAGAAACATAGGTCTTCTGAGTGTCATCTTGCTGAATTTTTAGAGATACAAACATTTTGCTGTACTAATTCACAAGTTTGGTGAGAGGGCTACTATCTTACAGATTATGCACTTGTATTACCCAGCTTTATTAAGTAGAACAATCCTATTCAGGGTACTCTTTTTGGGGCTTTTTTTTTGGCACTGGGGATCAAACTCAGGACCTTGCGCTTGCAAGGTAGGCGCGGGCGCCACTGGGCCAAATCCCCGGCCCTTCAGGGTACTCTTAGACAAGGTAAAACATTCCAAAAATACTTTGCCCAGATCATTTAGTACCGTTCAGTTGCCTTGATGACTCAGTCATACAAATTTTTACCTGATTTTAAATAATTTCACCTATTTTTATTTTTCTATCCCCTGTTTAGAAAATCAACTTTTATTTCATTGGCAACATGTTTACAATCTTCTGAACTAAGATTTGAATCTTTTTGATTGTATGTTTTCAGTAGTTATTGTGACCCTTCTTAAGAGACTGCTAAAGCTCTTAAGTCTTGGGCAAAAACAGTTATCTATTCTCCCTTCTTATTGCAAATTATTCATGTCCACGTCAGAGCAAGGTAAATTACTGTTTGGAAAATGGATCTTTTCTATATTACTTTAGTTTTCTGTGACTTCCTTTTATCATTTTATGTATAGTTTGTTGAATAGTTTCTACTTCTGCTCCTCAGAGTATTTATAAAATCTCTTAAATAAGTATTGAAATTCTTTTTTTTTTTTTTTGGTACTGGGGATCGAACTCGGGGCCTTGTTCTTGCAAGGCAGGCGGCAGAAACACTGAGCTAAATCCCTGGCCCTTGAAATCCTTAAAATAAGTGAATTTTTATGTTAATTTTTAGGAATTATAATGGTTTTTCATATCTAGGTTAAAAACAAAATGACAAAGGAACAGTACATTAAAATGAATAGAGGTATCAACGACAGTAAAGACCTCCCTGAAGAGTATCTGTCAGCTATCTATAATGAAATAGCTGGTAAAAAGATATCAATGAAAGAAACAAAAGAACTAACAATCCCCACAAAATCAAGTAAACAAAGTAAGTATACAAATCAGTTGAATTGTGATTGTTCAAGGGGAAAACATGGGTTCTTGAAAGTCTTACTTTTTAAAAATAAAGTAACCCCATGTAAATATGAGTTAGAATCATATTTTGTTTAATTTCATAATATACGCTTTGGTGATGTGATTGTATTTTTCCACATCCTGAAGAAAGATAACACATGATTATGGTAACACTAATTTGCATATGTTAGTATGCATTTAATATGTGCTTTATTTAACAGTTGATCTCGTAAAGGATTTGGAGGTCAAAGAGATTATTTGGACAATCTCGATAGTCAGGCATCAGCTCTTTTTCTGACTCACCAGCTACAAGCAACATAATTCTTAATTCTTTTTGTCTGTCATTATACATAAATGGAAACTGGAAATAGAGGTGACATAAGAGATGGAAAAGTTTAGGATCATTGGAGCTGGAAGTGACTAGTTCACAGATTGCAAATTATGACACTGTTAAGTCCCTAGCTCTGACTGGCAGTAGGAGCCAACTGTGAGTCCAGCTCCATTCTAGACACTCTATACATGTAGATGCTGGTGATTAGCAATATAAACTTGACTATAGGTCATTCCTAATCACTTAGGGTAATGAAAGAATGTAACTGTAATATAGAAAGATTCTTGCCTTTCTGAGTACCTGTACTTGCAAATAAAATGTCAAGTGTGAACAAATTGCAGTAGCAAAATTCTGTTCACAGGAGAGAAACAATAAAGTCTGTGTGTGTTACATTATTTCCAAAAGTTGAGTAATTCTGAGAGTCTGAAGAGTAGCGAGAGAATGTCAGCAAGAATATCTTTTAGAATACTATAGGGAATTATATTCTAGGAAACTAGTAAATTCTCTCATTTTTTGTTTTGTTTTGGTTTGGTTTTTTGAGAAAGGATCTCACTGTGTAATTCAGAGTGGCTTTGGGCTCAGTATGGAGCCCAGGCTAGCCTGCAACTCTCGGGTGATCCTCCTACCTTAGCTTTCTGAGAGCTAGGATTACAGTCATCTGCCACCACATCCAAGTTATTTTGTTTTGTTTTTGAGACAGGGTCTTGTTATCTTGTTCAGGCCAGCCTTGAATTCACCATGTAGTCTAGGCTGACCTTGAACTCACAGTGATCCTCCTGCCTCAGCCTCCCAAGTGCTGGAATTACAAGTGTGCACCACCACACCCCTCCCTCACTTTAAAGATAAAGTCCAGAGAGATTAAGAAGGAGAATTAGACTATGAGCTGACTCTAGCATAAAAATTATTTCAATCCCTACCCCTAAAGCCCTACCCCTAAAGAGATTAAGTGGCAAAGTCAAATTTTAAGCAAGTTATCCTTAACTCTTAGTATAATCCAATATCAATCAGCAGTTTCATTTGGTAGTGTTATTTTTGTCTGTACTTAGGAAGTATATTAATGAAGCCTTCATTTTTATTCCTAAGTAGATGCCCATTGTCTGATATAATTTTTGTTCTCTTACCTATAGTATCCTCATATCCCACTTTTGTATATGGTGGTAGAAAATCAATGAGATGGTGGTGTGCCAAAAAAACTAAAATTATCCAGTAATATTAGTGCCAGTTTTCTTGCCAACTTGGGGAATATTATTCAAGTGTGTGTGGTACATGGATGCCACTGCTCTTACTGCTTCTGCTATTCTAATACATGTTTGGATTGTTTCCCTAGCACTTTCATTGTTAAAGTTGTTCCTGCTCTCTTCATAGATTTTTCACTGATTCCTGACTCCTAGTTCAAAATTTTTTGAACTTTAAAAAACATTTTAAAGTGAACGGTTCTGTTGGCATTTTGTATATGCACCAAGTTGTTCAACTACTACCTCTCTCTAGGTCCAAAACATTTTGTTACCTCAAAATAAAACCCTGAACCTATTAAGCAGTGGCTTACCATTCCATTCCCTTACCCTCTACATCCTGGCAAACACCCGTCTACTTTTTTTTCTGTGAATTTGCCTCTTCTGGGTTTTTCACATATGTGGAATCACATAATATGTGACCTTTTGTGTCTGACTTAAGACTGTTCTTAATGTTAATTAGTGATATTTGATAGTAAAACATTGAAATAACATTTCTAAATGCTTTATATGTTAAATGCTAATGTTTTAATGTTTCAGATGTAGCTAGTGAAAAACAAAGAAGACTTCTATATAATTTAGAGATGGAACAGATGGCCAAGACAGCCAAAGCTCTCATGGAGGCCGTGAGCCACGTTCAGGCACCTTTTACAAGTGCAACACATTTGGAGCATGTGAGACCTATGTTTAAGGTTAGAATTACTGATAACTTTTGGTTGCAATGTACATTTAGACAGTTTTGATAAGCATCTTTTTGAGTTGAAGTATAGTGATAATAGCACATTCAACGTGGAAGCTGTAGCTTTGTTATATGGGGCATAAGTAGATAGAAACATCTCTTCAATAAAATGAGAAGACAGATACACAATAAGTAATTAATAGAAGTATAATGTTGAGAACAGAAAGGTTTTAGAGAATGATCATTAATGATTGGCTTATTTTCCTCTGAATGACTTATACCTAAACCTTTGGTGTTAGTTCAGATTTCAAAGTGATCCTGAAGCACTTGCTGTCCCAGTGCTTCCACTTCCAGGGTTCTGAGTATGCTGAAGCTCAAGAAGTAGGGTAAGGAACCCAGGGAACATTGTGTTTGTAGGCAGATTTTGTAAGAATGATAGTTACTGGCTCTTTGAAATTTGATTTCCCACTCCTTTTTTTTTTGGTACTGGTGATCGAATTTGGGACCTTGCACTTGCAAGGTAGGTGATAGCACCACTGAGCTAAACCCCCAGCCCAGGTCCCATTCCTTCTTCATTCTCCTAGTCTTTTCTACTCTTTCTTTAAATTCTGCAGTGAGTAACCAGTGCATCATAGGGTTATAGAGAAGTAGCAAGGAATATAGTGAAGTTTGAAGAGAAAGTAGGTGAAGTATATTGTAGTTCATGAGACAGAATGGTAAGATTGCCTGAGAAGAGTGAGACCCTAATTTGAGCTCTCATTCTTCCTACATATTTGTATGGGTTGAAAAGATGGCTGTAAGATTTCTATGCTTATTTTCAGCTCTAAAATTTTGTAATTCTATCCCTAATTCATGGTCTGGGTGTTAGAGTTTTTCTAAAAACTTGATGAATTATGGGACAAGAGTGAGGGAGCTAGGGAGACAGTGCTAAAAGGAGTAATGGAGTATAGCTGGCCTTGTTCTTTGGAATGATATAGAAAATATTGTTGAAATATAAGAAACCTTTACCATTAGTATTATTATGCTGGAGATTAAACTTTAGGGCCTTATGCATTCTAGGCAAGTGCTTTATCACTGAGCTACATAGCTCTTTTAAAATTTCATTTTGGGATAGGGTCTCACTAAGTTGCCCCAGTGAACTTTGGATTCTCTTGCCTCAGCCTACACAGTAGTTATTATAAAATTTTATAAAGCTGCTTTTGTTTTAAATGATCTCATATCTTTAGTTTGCTTTTCTTTTCAAACAGGTTTTTTAGGGGAGTTTTTTTTGGGGGGGGAACAGTAAGAAACCTACTAAAATTCCACTACACAGAAAAATTCTATTAAAAAGTTCTGAGTAATTCTGTTTTCCTTAGAAATATATATTTTTAAAATTTTCAGTTATTAGTACAATTTAGATATACATAATGATCACATTCATCATAGGGAAATTGTACCTATACCTGACATATTTTGATTCCTTGTTTTTTCCCATTCCCCTCCCCTCCCTTCAACCCATCTTCCCCTCCCTATTTACAAAAGCCCCTCTTCCATTTCTTCCTTGTTTTCTCACTTTTTTTCTTTTTCTTTCCTTCCTTTTCCCTCCCCCCTCTCTAGTTTCCCCTTCCTTTTGAACGGTTTTTTCCTTTTTCATATTGTCTATTATACATTTTGGTCCCTGTTTACACTGTCTTATTCTTTTTTTTTTTTTTTTTTTGTGCCAGGGATCGAACTCAGGTCCTTGTGCTTGCAAGGCAGGCAACGGAACCACTAAGCTAAATCCCCGGCCCCTACACTGTCTGTCTTACACCAGAGAGACAATGCTATATTTATGCGTGTGTGCGATTTATTTCACTTGAGTATAGCGTCTCCGTGCATCCATTTAGCTATAAATGCCTCAAGTTTATCCTTCTTTATGGCTAAGTAGTACTTCATTGTGTAGAAAAACCCACATCGTTTTTCTCCATTCATCAGTTGATGGGCATTTGGGTTGTTTCCAAGATATAACTATTACAAACTGTGTTGCTATAAACATGGGTGTGCATATATTGCTGTGGTATGCTGCTTTTAATTCTTTTGGGAAGATGCCCAAAAGAGAAATAGCTGGGTCAAATGCAACCTCTAATCCTAGTTTTTGAGGTATCTCCACACTGATTTCCACAGTGGTTGCACCAGTCTACACTCCCACCAACAGTGGAAAAGGGTTTCTTTTTCCGCACATCCCCTCAAGCATTTGTTGTTGGTTGATTTCTTGATAGCAGCCATTCTTTCTGGGGTGAGGTGGAATCTCAGTGTTGTTTTAGTTTGCATCTCTCAGATGACCAGTGATGTTGAACATTTTTCATATATTTATTTGCTGTTTTTACTTGTTCATCTGAGAAGTATCTATTCATTTCAGATGCCCATTTTTGGATTGGGTCTTTAAATTGGGGAAGGATATGGGTTTTTTCAGTTCTTTGTATGTTCTAGACATTAATCCTTTTTCTGAAAGACAACTGGCTACAGTTTTTTTTCCCCCGCTCTGTTGGCTGTCTCTTCACTCTGTTGGTGATTTCTTTTGCTGTGCAAAAGCTTTTTAGTGGGATCAGATCCCATTTGTTGATTCTTTGTATTATTTCCCTTGAGATTGGAGTTTTGTTTATGAAGTCTTTGCCTACACCTTTGTCCTCAAGAGTTCTACCTGTTCTCTCTTCCAGCAGATTTAGTGTTTCTGTTTTAATATTTAGATCTTTGATCCATTTTTATTTTAGTGCACGATGAGAGACATGGGTCTAATTTTAGTTTCAGTATGTGGAAAGCCAGTTTTTACAGCACCAATTATTGAAGAAACTATCTTATTTTTCCAGTGAATGTGTTTGGCCCCTTTGTCAAAGATAATGTGGCTGTGTTTGGAGTTGTTTCTGCATTTTATGGTCTTTTTCATTGATCTTCAGGTCTGTTTTTTTTGTTTTGTTTTGCCAATACCATTCTGTTTTTATCACAATAGCTTTGTAGTATAATTTCAAGTCAGAGATTGTGATGCCCCCTGCCTTTGTTGTCCAGAATTGGTTTTACTATTCTAGGTCTCTTCTGGTTCCAAATGAATTTTAAGATTGTTTTCTGTAATTCTGTGAGATATGCTGTTGGAATTGCATTAAAACTGTATAACAGTTTTGGAAGTATGGCCATTTTCGCTATTATTGGTTCTTCCTACCCAAGAACCAGGGTTGTATTTTCATTTTCTGATACCCTCTTTGGTCTCCTTTCTCAGAGTAATGTAGTTTTCACTGTAGAGGTCTTTTACTTCGTTTGTTAAATCGATTCCCAAATATTTCATTTTTTTGGATGCTATTCTGAAAGGTGTTTCCCTAATTTCTATCTCAGTGAGTTTGTTATTCATGTACAGGAAGTCTATTGATTTTTGAATGTTGACTTTATATCCAGCTGTGCTACTGAATTTGCTCATTAAATCTGCAAGTCTTTCAGTGGAATTTCTGGGGTCTTCTGTGTAGAGTAACATGTCATTCACAAATAATGATAATTTAACTTCTTCCTTTCCTATCCTTGATCCTTTTGTTTCTTTCTCTTGTCTGATTGCTCTCGCTAATGTTCCCAGAACTATACTGAATAAGAGTGGTGTCCTTAGAAATGCTTTAAAAAGCTTTATAGACCTTTAAAAATTCCAGTTGTCATCTCTGTAGTACACTAGTAAAAACACTTTTCAATTTGATGGCCATGGCTTACTAAAAGCAGTGAGTTTGTTTTGTTTTGTTTTGTTTTGTTTTAGACAGGGTCTCGCTATGTAGTTCGTGCTGGCCTTGAACTCACTGTGTAAATAACCCAGGCTGGCCTCAAACTCATGACAATACTCCTGCCTCAGTCTCCTGAGTGCTGGGATTACAGGCATGCATCACCGTACATGGCTCAGGCAGTGAATATTTTGTCTTCCTCAATCTGTAATGAAGATTTTATCGAAGAGTTTGGTTTTTTTTCACCACCATTTCAAGGTAGAATATTTAAATTTTTAAAGAAATTAGGCTGTTATGTCTACAGAGGAAGTTTAAAGAAAAGAGAATAATGTGGTTTGTTGCAAGTAGAAAAATGATTAAAAGGATTTTCATTAGAAATAGAGTCTGTGAATTATTGTAAGGGCCAAAGCTTGCAAAGAAAGATGAATTCCACAGTCAGGCATAAACCTTATTTTTTTTTATGTATATCATTTGCTGCCACTTTATTAGTCCCCTTTTTATTAGTTTATAAAACCTGTTCTTAAAATATATGTAAGATCATTACTGAATTTATGTTCTTACTTTCCCACTCAAGCCCAGACAGCATTATATAATTTGGCCTCCTTATTCTAAAAAACCTTCCAGATGCTATGCTAAGAATCTAATTTTTTCTTTTCAGAATTCTCTCACATCTTGTATAGTTTGCAAGTTTTGAGAAATATAAGTGTAACATTATAAAATTTAACTATCACTTGATATCCATAAATTTTTAATTTTTCTAGTTGGCTTGGACACCTTTTCTGGCTGCATTCAGTGTGGGACTACAAGATTGTGATGATACTGAAGTAGCCTCTCTTTGCCTGGAAGGGATAAGATGTGCAATCAGAATTGCATGCATTTTCAGCATTCAGGTAATGAAGAATTTTACCTTTGTAAGCCAGTCCAGAAAACATGTGTTACTTATGCCATTACCATACTTCCATTTACAACACTTTTTTTTATATCTGACTGATTAAAAATGAATTTCAAACTTACAGTGGAATTTAATCTTCATGTTTTAAGTTTTTGAAGCACTATAATAGAATGTGTAATTCTATACCAATCTTTCTAAAATTTATATCATCTTTGGTTACAGCTTTTTCTCTATAGAATATTAGCTATATATAAAATCTCTAAGATTTTCAGTGTCAGTGTATTGAGTACTTTATTAAACATTTATTTGTTCACACTTTTATAACATAAGCCTATGAAATTCTCTTACAAGAGAAACTAGTATCTAGTCTATATTTTTCATGAAAATAGTCCTTCCAGTAGTAATTTATATGCTTAAGTGAACTTTTTTTAAAGCTCATTTCCTATTTAATTATGAGTGTTACAGCTTTGTACATAACAAAATACAGCCCACTGAAGAGAAAAAAAGTGCAGTTTTTTGTCAGATTTTTGCTAGTACTTTTGCATATACTTAAAAATGTTGAAACAGTGTTTGAATTTGTTACCACTAAAATTTCAGCTTGAATTGGAATCTCCATTGCTTTAAGATTTTAGATATTTATGTTTTCTGCATAATCATTTAAAAATTTAAAATGTATTTTGCAGTATTGTATGTAATTCATGACATGTCAGTTAAAAACTTACTAAACAAGTAAATAATTTGTCAGTAAGGAATTAGATCAGTCTGATATATTTACAGCCATGTGAATAGATCTTTCTCTTTCTCCCTCACTCCTGCCTTCCTCCTTCCTTTTTTTGGTAGCTGGAAAGAGATGCATATGTCCAGGCACTAGCAAGATTTACCTTACTTACAGTAAGTTCTGGTATTACTGAAATGAAGCAAAAGAATATTGACACAATAAAAACACTTATCACCGTGGCTCATACAGATGGAAATTATTTAGGAAATTCATGGCACGAGGTATAAACATTTTATTTTCAATTTTGCAATTTGGTTTATAAAATTGAGGTAATGCTAAATATTGTATCACTGATGTGGATTAGTGGGGAAAAATTAATTTAGTGCATTTTAAATAGATACATTCAACTTTTTATAGTGGTTTATAATATAACCAATGTTTAAATCCTAAGTATGTATGTTTACGTATTTTTGAGAATATGAGAATTAAAATTTTTTTTCTTTTCATAATTAAGATTCTAAAGTGCATCAGTCAGTTGGAGCTGGCACAACTTATAGGAACTGGAGTGAAACCTCGATACATTTCGGGAACAGTGAGAGGGAGAGAAGGATCTCTTACTGGGACGAAAGAACAGCCTCCTGATGAATTTGTGGGTCTGGGGCTAGGTGAGAATTTTAAAATTCTTTTTACAAAATAGCAAAAGTCATTATTAACCTCTGTTATAAATCACTTTATTGTACCAATGAACTATAATTAGATTAAATGCCCTTCATCCAACCTTGTAAAGAAAAAGATGAATAAGTAGGAAAAGGAGTCTTTTTTTGCCTAGAATAGCTCACAATATTAAATGACCCTTACTCTCAGTATCCTACTTGAGACTGGGAAAAGGTTGCAAATAAATTACCTGTCTTGAGACTAAGTAGATAAATGCATGAAGGCTTATATAACATAATAGGTCTACTTGGGGCAACTGGAGGAAGCTTTCACATTCACAGTTTTTTAAAGACACTACAGGCCTACTCTTCTGTCAATATGGAACCTATCCCCAAGGTTTCCCTATTGCTCTTATGGCCAGGAATTCCCAGATTCAATCTAGTAGAAGAAAGAAAATATTAGCAAAAATAGATACAAAAATGTTAAAGACTGAACATTTTTAGTCATAAATGGAAGTTGTTCCATCAAGGAATTGAGCAAGGTTTAGACTTTCACCTTTGAATGCTTTTTTTTCAGGCTTGAATTTTTTTGTATTCTTTACTGTATGCGTGTTAATTTTATCTTTCTGAGATTTGGCTTCCACTTTTGCAAACTAAAGGAAGTATCTACTCATAAGATTAATAACGTTAAATAAGAATATATATGGATGGACTAAGCACAATGGCCAGTTTACTAGAAATTTTTGCATATATTCAGTCCATCCACGGAACCTCCAACCAAGGTATCTACAGGCATGATTCAAAGAGAGCATGAAGGAAAATGCCCAAGAACCAAGTGTATTTACCTGTTAAAGGCTTGGATTATACATTTAGGGGTATTTTTTATCTTTTAGTGATTTCTGTTAATGGTGGCAGTTAAAACTTCTTAAGAAATCCAGAAAGATTTCAAACACAGAAATTGTGTCTACTGTATAGGGAAAGAAGTAAAGACCAGGACTATGTTCTGACTTCAAAGTGTACTGAGGAAAATTAGTACCTTGCTGTGTCCAGGTGAAGTAGCTAGCAGTGCAAGCTTTCCCCTAAGTGATTTCATAGCTGTTGGGTTAGCATGAGGGCTAGGAGATGCAGGTGCAGACCTGATTCCTAGGTGATCCAACAACAAGATTTAGAAGTGCCTGAGCACCTTCATGATGACTTAACATAACATGGAAGTCTAACTCTAAACATTATAAAATAAGTAGCATAAGATACAACAAAAATTATCTTTGAAAAGGCATAGGTGTATAAAAGGCCAGAATAATAATAGATGTTAATTGCATGGGCTCAATTTTGGCAAGTAGGATTGTAGAATGAGGTTAAACTAAAAAAATAAAACAGCAGTAAAATATTTTTATCTTGAAAGTTTTAGTCAAACGAGAATATTTGCCTATATACTTGAAATGAATTAAAATTAATTTGTTCATTGTGCTGTTTTGCAACTTAGATTGCAAGAATATGAAATGACCTTCCTTCTACCTTAAAAAAAAAAGGGGGTTGGGAGGATTTACATAATGACACATTTTAAACCTGGACATATAAAACCGTTCAAGCTTCCAGACCACTCCAGAGACCAATAACTGTCTTATTTTTTATTTATGATTTCTCTTATGTTACCTACTTTTCTTTTTAGTCTTCTCCATCCTCCAGGTTCATCAGACTCTGAGTTTGAGTCTAGACCCTTGAGGGAACTAGTCTGCTAGTGCCAATTGGGCAGAGCCTACCCTTCAGGCTGTCTTGTTGGTGACCATCCAGCCCATTTGGAAGATGTCTTACTAGCTGTGTCCCTCTGTGCCCACCTACCCAGACAGCAGATAACTTTCTTGAGCAAGATGCAGAAGTCAGAATTTAAGCTAGAAAAAGATGTGGTATAGACAGTGGAGCCAGTTAAAACCAATATTCTCCTTTAATAACAGCATCTGTGCAAATATTCCTTGTAACAAAATTAACAGAAATGAATATAGTCATCCTTAAGTGTCTATATAGGATAGGTTCCAGGACCTCTGAGAATACCAATATCCAAGGACTTTTAAGTCCTTAATGTAAAGTGGTGTAGTATTTGCATATAACCTACACATACTCTACTATTTACTTTAAAACATCTCTGACTTACTTAATACCTACTACAATGTAAATGCTCTGTAAACAGAACACTTTTGTTTAGGGAATAATGACAGGAAAAAAAGTATACATGTTCAGTTAAAAACAGTCTTGCCGGGATTTAGCACAGTGGCACCACACCTGTTCCACAAGCACAAGGTCTTGAGTTCAATCCCCGGTACAAAAAAAAATGCAGTATTTCCCCCTAAATATTTTTGATCCCAGGTTTGTTGAATCCATGGATGCAGAACTCACCCATAATGGGCAGCTAACTGTATATATTTCTTCTATGATAAAATTTTAAACTTTAATTATTTTTGGGAACATGAAAGTTTACCTCTTAAAAGTACATAGTATATTATTTTTAAATTTGAATTATAGACATTCCATTCTTCTAAGATAATATTTGAAAATTCAATAGAGAATATATATAACATTTTATCTGGGTAAGAAGGCAACATTAACATACATAAGATAATTTGTATGAAACAGTATGGAAATAATTCTGATTTCAGTAGTGCTTATTAAGTAAAAACTTGGTTCAGACACAGATGAGAAAAATGGAGAGGAGTGCTTTATTGAGAACTCAAATTGGATCTGGTAGGTAAGTTTTTAATAGAGCATGACTGGAAACACATGTTGGTTGAAGTGTTGAAGATAAGTGCCTTCAGTGCTAGGCTGAAGTCCTTATACTTTATCCCAGTGAGCAACATGAAGGTAATAATTTTGGAGTGTTATCTGGCAGGAGAGTGAGGGAGAGATTGAAGAGAGGAATAAACGGTAGCAGAGCAGTAAGCCAGGGAACTGTTTCAGTAGCCAAGACTGAGATATGAGAGCCTGAACTGAGTAGGAAAGGCGTAGAATAGATAGTGTGCAAAATTAGTCAAAAGAAAAGGGATCCTGTTGTTTTACCATCTGACTTATGGAACAAACCGAGAGAAAGAAAGTGATCTTTTAAATAAGAGAAAGTTAGACCATACAGGTAGAGTTGCCAGGAAGCATTTGTAAATAGGGGGTTGAAGATTAAATGACAGGGAAATTCTAATTATATGAAATTGGAATCATCCACAGATGGTATCATTGAAACTAGATTAAGTTAATTAAACATTGATTTTATCTAAATTTACAATACTCCTAATTTATGTGATCTTTGCAAACAGTTTGTACCCTATAACCATGTCTTGTAAACTGCTTAGTATTGCTCAGTAAGCACATTTGTCCTTGATAAACAATACTAAAAGAATTGTTCATTCAAAGCCTTGCTTCACTTATTAGGAACATGATTGATTTTACAAATGTGTTTTAAGGCTGGCCTTAGTGGCCCATGCCAGTAATCCCAGCACTTGAGAGGCTGATTCCAGGAGGATCACCATAAGTTCGAGGCCAGCCTGAACTACATAGTGAGTTCAAGGCAGCCTGAACTACATAGTGAGACCCTGTCTCAAAAAAACTCAGAAAATAAAAGAAAGAACAAGGAATGTGTTTTCAAACCAAGTGTATTGTTCCACTGAGTGTTTTTTTAAAACTGAAATAACTCTCTTACGTGTGGTAGTTGGAGGAAATGTGGATTGGAAGCAGATTGCAAGTATTCAGGAATCCATTGGAGAAACCAGTTCTCAAAGCGTTGTTGTTGCTGTAGATAGGTAAGGTATTCATTTTCTTTCCTTTGCAGATGACTGCTGTTCCAATTCTGTAGCACTAGCTACACTATATACTGATCATTAGTAAAAAGAAAAAATTATTCTGAAAATAATTTTCCTAAAGTAATAGAAGATTATATTATATTAATGTAAGATAATATAAGGTTAATATAAGATTATATTATGATATACTGTGATTTAGATGGTGAAGTATCTGTAATTTTGACTTTTTTTGCTTATGGCATATTGAAAGTAAATGATATTAAAATTTTAGTTATAATAGTAAAGAGCATTAGAGAAATGATAATTTTGAAAAAAACACAAGATACAAAATCAACACACAGAGATGAGTAGCATTCCTGCACACTATTGATGAACCTAGCAAGAAAGAAATTAAGAAAACAATACTATTCATGATAGCTTCAAGAAAAATTAAATATTTAGGAATTAACCTAACAAATGAAGTAAATTACCGCTATAATGAAAACTATAGTATTCTGAAAATGGAGATTAAAGGGGGCATCAGAAAATGAAAAGATGACCCCTGTTCCTAGATAATCAGAACCAATAGTGTCAAAATGGCCATACTGTTAAAACTGATGTACAGATTTAATGGAACCCCAGTGAAAATACGAACATTTCACATAGAACTAGAGAAAACAATCCTAAAATTCATAAGGAACCAGAAGACACCCAGAATAGCAAAAGCAGTCCTGGGCAACAAGAACAAAGAGGCACCACTATCATGGATTTCAAGTTATGTTACAAAGATACAGTGATTAAAACAGTATGATGGGGATTTAGCTCAGTGGTTCTGCTGCCTGCCTCACAAGCACAAGGTCCCAAGTTTGATCCCCAGTACCAAAACAAAAACAGTATAACACAAATCAGACATGTGGATCAGTGGAGCAGAAGAGAGGCTGCAGAATCAACCCCAGGCACATCGAGCCATCTAATCTTTGACAAAGATAAAAAACATGCTAGAGAACAGATAATATCTTTAACAAATGGTGCTGGGTAAACTGGATATACACATGGAGAAAACTGAATCTAGACCTGTAACTCTCACCATGTACTAAACTAAAAATAGATCAAAAATCTAAATATTAAAAGAGAAACAATCAGCTGGATGATAAAATAGTTACAACTCTTGAAGACATAAGTGTAGGTGAGGACTTTCTGAGTAGAACCCCAGTTGCACAAGAAATAATATCAAGAGCCAACTAATGGGATTATGTGAAATTAAAAAGCTTTCACACAGCAAAGGAAATGACCAACAGAGTGAAGAGATGATCTGCAGAATGGGAAAAAAGTACTCCATAGAGTACTAATACCTAGAATATATGAAGAACAAAAGAATTAGACCCTCTCAAAATAAAAGACCCAGTCAAAAATATAACAACTGAAATGCATAGACACTTCTCAGAAGTACATACAGTCAATAAATACATGAAAAAATGTTGAACATCTCTAGCTGTTAAATGCAAATTAAAACAACACTGAGATTCTGTCTTACTCCAGAAAGAATGGCTGTCATCAAAAAATTAATAACAAATGCTGACGAGGGTGTGGGGTAAAAGGAACCCTTTTGCATTGTTATCAGGAATGTAAATTAGTACTACCACTATGGAAATCAGTGTGGAGATTCCTCAAAACACTGAAAATAAAAATTCCATTAGACCCAACCATTACCCTTCTAGGTTTTCTTATTACAGTGATACATGTATACTTACAGTTTATGGCAGCATGACTCTAATAGCTAAATCTTGGAAGTGGCCTGTATGCCCATCAACAGATGAATGAATAAAGAAAATGTATTTATACACATTGAAGTGTATAACTTTGCTATGAAGGGTAAATTTGAATTGTTTGTAGGAAAATGGATGCACTTTGAGATGATAATTTTAAGTGAAATAAATCAGACACACATTTAATTATGACAAGTTTTCTCTTATATCAGAAGGCCAAAGTATAAATAAACAGTAGAATAAAAGATAAATAATACAAAACAGGGAATAGATATTTTATATATGAGAAGAGAGCTAAGAGATGGAGGGAGGGATAAGGGTGAGAAGAGGAAAGTAAAGGCAATTAAGATGTGTTAGTACATGTACTCATTCGTCAAGAGGAAGATAATCATGTACTGCGAACATGTACTAAGGAAAATTAAAATTAAAAAGGGAACAATAAGTGCTTGTTGTGGTGGCTAACACCTATAATCCCAGCATTCCGGAAACTGAGGAGGATCACCATGAGTTCGAGACCAGCCTGAACTACGTAACGAGACCCCATCTCAAAAACAACAAAACAAAACCTCACACAAACAAATATTTTATTTCCTTTGTAGAAAACTTGCTCTCCTTATTATCAGTCTTTGAAAATATAGTGTAATTTATCTTTCTGAATACATGGTGCATAAATATATTATGTATAAAATGAATGGTGTTTGCTGGAGATTCTCATTATAAGCTCCTTTACAAAGGACTTTGGAATTTATGTATTACATACGTTACCAAGAATTCCCCAATGCAGTTTGTTCTCTAAAGGAAAACGTTCTGTAGAATATTTCAGATTTTTAAATGCCCCACATGTAAAACCATACCTTCTAGCATTCCTCTGTGATTACCTTTCCCAGATAAATGTCCCCCAGGTGAAAATTAGCATTTTATGACACTGACATTTAATTTTTTTTTCTTAACCCCTTGGTGGGGGAAACTTGCCTGGAGACTCATGCTGATTTATTGTTTTGCTTCAGGTAAAGCTTTTTACTCCACATACAGAGAGCACTAGAATGTTCAACAGCTACTGCCCCTCAGAGTACTTCTGGAACTTTTTCTTTGAAAAATTAACATTCACTCGTTGTTGTTGTTTTTCTTGTGGAGGTTGAAGAAAGATTGTCTATCATTTTATATCTAAGGCTTGTCACATGTGTGGCACATAATGTGTGTTACTGTACTTCATTTAAACCCTTCGGTAGGCCTGGTGGCGCACACCTGTGATCTTAGCGCTCAGGAGGCTGAGGCAGGAGGATCATCTGGAGTTGGAGGGGAGCCTTGGCTACATAGTCAGTTCAAGGCCAGCCTGAACTGTAGTGAGACCCTGTCCAAACAAAACAAAACAAACCCAAAAAAACCTTTTAGTAGTTTCATGAGATGAATCATATTGGTGTTCTCAATTTACAAATGAAGAACCTGGACAGAAATGATTTAAATAACTTGCTCGTTCCCACAACCAGGTTGGTCTTGATTATTTCAACAAGTATTTTTTTGTTTATAGAGAATTTTGAAAGGTGGAGCCACCCTGTCTTCTGGCTCAAGCAGCCAATTTCTGAATGTGTACTCTTAACTCACTGCCTTCCTGCCTGTGTGTACAACTCCAGAGCCATGTATTTAGCTATTCTTCTGCTGCTAGGCAAATGATATTCTTGCCTTCCAGAAAAGCATCTTTACTGTTAGGAGAATCTACTTAGGCAAGAGTCAACATTTTATCTTCTTTTTCCATAATATACTTTATATGACCACACCCAGTTCTGATTTTCCCTGTCCACTATTTGTTGTAAGGGGACATATCATCCATTTGAACAAATTACATGCCTCTCTTTCAATAATTTATGCTATTTCAGAGACTACTTAGCACAAATTTTATTAGTACTTTGTCATCTCAAGCTGTCATCACGAGATACAGTGGACCCTTGATTTAAAAATTAGATTGGTTCCCAAGGGCTGGTTGTAATTCGGGTTGGTTGTAAGTCAATACAAATCTTCCATTAACCTAATTTACCCAAATTGTTCGTATGTCAGGCTGGTCATAATTTGAGGGTCCACTGTACTTCTAAAAGGATAAATCTAATGTCCAATCTTAAGGAAAACCTGAATACTTAAGTTATAGCTTATAGTAAAAACTTTGAAAGTTAGATCCTTGATTTATTGTAAGGTTATATTGTTCTTCTGTTGTATATTTCACTTTGTCATTGTTTCTGATTTTCTTTCTGAATCCTAAGTTTATATTCATATGTTATATGCCAACTCTGATCCATAAGCTAACTCAGTGAGATAATACTGATAGTTAAGACAACAGTAAGAATATAGCCTGGCATTATCCTGGTTAGTTCTGTCCTTGTCCAGCAAACAAAGTCATTCTTCTGTCCTTAAGTCTATTATTCTAAATATTGTAATCTGTTACCACAAATTTAGGGACTAAACAAGAGAAATTAAAATAATTATTCTATGTTAATGCTTTTGTTGTTGTTGTTGTTACCAGGGATCAAACTCAGGACCTTGTGCTTGTGAGGCAGGCACTGGAACCACTGAGTTAAATCCCTGGCCCTCTTTGTTAATTCTTTATTGCTGTTTCTTAATGGACAAAAAAAAAATGAGATTCTGTTGAATTCTTTAGGATGACAAAAAATTTCTCAACTTTTGTAGTAGGAATCTTGTACCATTAGAATTCAGGAGACTACTAAAACACATTAATCTGGTAGTACTTGATCCTCCAGTGTTGCAGGGACAGAAGTTTCTAGGGATTGTTAAACTAGACCTGTTTCATAACTGTGTAGGGGTTAAAATTTGACCAGGAATGATTTACTTCTAAAAGTTAAAAAAGTTATTTAGCATTATAATTTTTTTTATTAATTGTTTTTTAAACATACCAGAGCTAACTTTCATAAGCCCATCTTACACTTTTGGAACATTCAATTACCTATCAGAAAATATGTACAGTTTATCCCAACTGGTTTTATCTTTCAGTTAACCCTAAAATATAAATGTTACCTACAGTAAACCTTTTATAGTTACAGTAATTCGGGTCATTGGCTGTTACATAGTTTAAAAGTTTATTTCTAAAAAAAAATTTTTGCCAGCATTTCTTGTGCATTGGTATTATGATACGGATGAAGCAGTAATCTTACCAATTTTTTTCCCTCTTCATGCTTTTTGGGCCATGTCTTTTAATATTAGCAAACAAGACTTTTTGTGCTTTTGTCCTTTGCTTTTTATACTGAGAATGTAGAATCCATTTCATAGACTGAGTTTGTGAGGCCTAATTCTGTTCTCCTGCCTTAGTATATTAAGGCTTAACTTTGCATACCTCCACAGGCTGCTGTGCTTTCCCTCATGGCTCATCTTTAGTAAAGCCTTGCTAGAAATGAGTGACCCCTCAGAGGCCACCACAGTGAGGAGGAATTTGATTATCTCTACCCAGGGTACATGCTCCTACGTTCCACTAGCACCTCCAGTCCTTTCTCAGTCATGCTGATGGTAGTTCTTTTCTTACCTTTGTTCTCCACCATTTCACAACCTTCAGAATTTGTTGCTTCCTTTCCCTGTGGTTGTGTATAATCTTTATTTCTTCTTCTGTTCTTTACTCCTCTACAGTTGCCATTTGCTTTATTCTCAGTTAAAAATCCTTTCTATTGTGCCTTTTCCTGTTGTTTCTCCTGCACTCTATCTGTGATGTGATTTTATTTATAGCCTTTGCTTTCCATGTGAGAATACTTCTAGTTTAAGAGCAGTTCATTACATTTGTATAGTTTAGGCTACAGTTTTCATTTTTGTTCATGTGAGAGCTTTGTATATGTTAAATTTCTAAGTCCAGGCTGCCACTGAATTAAATGGGACCTTACTCTGGGTTTCCTTCCCAAGTCCTGTTTTCTGCAAATTTTTTTTCCCCATTAAGTTTATTGGTACATATTTAGGTATACAGTTATATTCATCATTGGGATCTTGTACCTTTACATGATGTATCTTGGTTCTCGTTTTTTTCCCTATTCCTCTGCCCTTCCTTCACGCCCTCCACCCTTCCCTATTTACAAAGACTTTGTTTCCATTTTTTTCCTTTTCTCATATTTTTTCTTTTCCCTTCTTTCCATTCCCCTCCCCCTCCCACTTCCCCTACTCCTTTCGACCTTTTCTTCCTATTTCACAGTATCACTTCTACATTTTGATCCTTATTTACACTTTTAGTTTTTCACACCAGAGGAACTACTTGGTATTTACACATATGTGTCCCATTTATTTCACTTAAGAGTATCACCTCAGTGTGCATCCACTTAGCTATAAATGTCTCTAGTTTCTCACTCTTTATGGCTGAGTAGTGTACTCCAGTTTATAAAAAAACCATATCTTCTTTATCCAGGCTCCAGTTGATGGGCAGTTGGGCTATTTCCAAGTTTTAGCTATTACAAACTGTCCTGCTATAAACATGGGTGAACATATATCACTGTGGTATGATTCTTTCAGTTCTTTTGGGAAGATATCCAGCAAAGGAATAGCTGGGTCAAATGGGACTTCTAATCCTAGTTGTTTGAGGTATCTCCATATCGATTTCCACAGTGGTTGCACCAGCCTGCACTCCCACCAACAATGAAGAAGGGTTCCTTTCTCCCTACAACCCCGCCAGCATTTGTTGTTGGTTGATTACTTGATAACAGCCATTCTTTCTGGGGTGAGGTGGAATCTCAGCGTTGTTTTCATCTGTGTCTCGAATGACCAGTGATGGTGAACATTTTTTCATATGTTTATTTGCTGCTTTTACTTCTTTGTCTGAGAAATGTCTGTTCATTTCAGATGCCCATTTTTGGATTGGGGGAGATCTGATTTTTTTTTTTTTTAGTTTATATGTTCTAGATATAGTAGACCTTTGAGGAACAGCTGGTAAAAATAGTTTCCAGCATTATAGGTTGTCTCTTAGCTCTCTTGGTGGTTTCTCTTGCAGTGCAGAAGCTTTTTAATAAGATGAGATCCCAGTTGTTGATTCTTTGTGCTAGTTCCTGAGCTACTGAGGATTTGTTCATAAAATCTTTTCCTGTACCAATCTCTTCAAGAGTTCTACTGAACTTATCTTCCAGCAAGTTTAGTGTTTCTGTTTTAATATTTAGATATTTAGTCCACTTCGATTTTAGTTTAGTGCATAGTGAAAGATAGGGGTCTAGTTTTAGTCTTTGGCAACTTGAAATCCAGTTTTTCCAACACCATTTATTAAAGAGGCTCTCTTTCCTCCAGTGAGGATGGTTGGCTCCTTTGTCAAAGACAAGGTAGCTGAGTGTGTCTGGAGTTGTTTCTGCATCTTCTAATCTATTCCACTGATCCTCAGGTCTATTTATTTGCCAGTACCATACTGTTTTTATCACAGTGGCTTTGTAATATAGTTTCAAGTTGGGGATTGTGATACCCCCTGCCATGTCTCTGTGGCATAGAATTGCTTTTGCTATTCGTTTTGGATTGTTTTCTCTAGTTCTGTGAAATATACTGTTGGGATTTCAGTCAGAATTGCATTGAATCTGTATAGCAGTTTTGCCAGTTTCACTATATTGGTTCTTTCTACCCAGCAACAGGGGATGTCTTTACATTTTCTTATATTCTCTTCAATCTCTTTTTTTCAGAGTGCTGTAATTCTCAATGTAGAGGTCTTTTGCTTCCTTCATTAGATTGATTCCTAGATATTTCATTTTTTTGGATGCTATTGTGAAAGGTATTGTTTCCCTAATTTCCCTCAGTGAGTCTGTTACTTGTGTACAAGAAGGCTGTTGATTTTTGAGTGTTTACCTTGTATCCAGCTACTCTACTGAATCCGTCAATTAAGTCTAGAAGTCTTTTGGCAGAGTTTTTTAGGTCTTTTATGTAGAGTATGCAGATTTTTAAATTATTTCTTTGTTCTACCAAGAAGCACAGTACTGAAAATCTTAAGACTTTCTTTAGCAGGAGCTCAGATTTTGTGTTTTCTGTGTTACTTGTGTTACTTATAGACATACAAGGGCACTGAGGTTAAAAAATATATAAGAACGGGGCCGGGGATTTAGCTCAGTGGTTTCACTGCCTGCTGTGCAAGCGCAAGGACCCGAGTTTGATCTCCGGTACCAAAAAAAAATAACATTCAGACTGGTAGTAGGGAAAAACTGGAAATACAGATATATACATACACACACACACACACACACACACATACACACATATAACACACATATATTCTTTGTACATGTACATATTTGCAGTACATAATGTTTACATTCCTTGTGGGGAGTTGGTACATGTACATAACACATCTTAATTCTTTTTTTAATCCCCTTTTCCCTCCTCTCCCTCCCACCTCTATCCGTCTCTTGATTCTGTTCCTATTTGAGAAACATCTGTCTCCCTACTTCCTATTATCTTTTGTTTTGCTCTTTAGAATATATTTAAAATGTTCAGTACGTGCTTTATTCAGGTAAGTATGAAACAATGTAGAAAAGTGAGTAAGAGGGTAGACTGTCCTTATTTGAATCTTGGTTCTGGCTCTTACTAGTTCTGTGATTTTGAAGAAGCTATTAAATATCATTGTGTCTCAGTTTCTGTTTTTATAAAACTGGGGTTATGATAGTGTATACTTCCCAGGATATTTTTGATTATTAAATAGTAGACATATATTAAGCACATAGAATAGTGTGATTGGTAGCTACTACTGTCATTACTATTTTTAAGTTTACCATTTGGCCTATTCCTACTTTAAGGTTTCCTTTTCATCATGCAAATTCTGTTGTGTGTATTTCAGATTGAGGAATATTCTGTACCCTCTGAAGGTTTACTCAAATCAAACCCTTGCTTACAAAGCTGGAATGTGGGTAAAAATGCAGATTTTGTAAAAGAAACAGCTTGGGGTGGTGGCACACCCCTGTAATCCCAGCACTCAGGAGGCTGAGAGGCAGGAGGATTGCCCCAAGTTTGAGGCCAGCCTGGGCTACATAGTGAGTTTAAAGCCAGCCTGAATTACATAGCAAGATCCCATCTCAAAAAGAAAAGAAAGAGAATATGTGTATGCTGAATTTTATTATGAAATTGAAACAGATTAAGTTCTGCAAAGAAAGCTAGGCACAACTGGGTAGTGTAGCTTAACTTTAAACATTTAAATATCCTAAAGGAAGTGGTTTAGCCACTTGGTTAAATTGAGACTATTTGCAAGTTTATTTCAAATTACTTTTAACTATAAATGAATTTTCTAATCAAATATACATTACTTATATAACGTTTAATTTTTTAAAAACTTGTTTAATGTTAGTACACAGAAAAAAAATGAAAAATCTGTTTGACAGTATACCAATTCGTTGGTTTTCCAAATTAATGTTTTCCTTTTTCTAGAATGTTATAAGGTCTGATATTTGTATGTCTACTAATGAAATTTTGACAGTATACATTTTTATTCTGGTAACATTGAATGCAAAGTGATACATTTAGATATGGGAGGGAGAGGCATTCAAACTACAGTATTCTTGTTATTAAACTACATGATGAAAATCATTCATTTGACTGCCTGATTTTTTTGGTTTGCTTAAAACAGATAAAACAGTTATACCTCAGGCCACTTTCTTTTGAATTAACAGAAATGAGACTGTAAATTTTCAAAATGTATTTTATTTTCCCTAGAATATTTACAGGATCTACAAGGCTAGATGGAAATGCTATTGGTAAGTGTGTATATTTATTCTATTTACACACTGGCCTTTTGGCTAAAAAACTTTAAAGGTGAAAAAACTATAAATGTATTTATGTTATAGTGGATTTTGTCCGTTGGCTCTGTGCTGTATCTATGGATGAATTGCTTTCTACTACACACCCAAGAATGTTTAGTCTGCAAAAGATAGTAGAAATATCATACTACAACATGGGAAGAATAAGATTGCAGTGGTCTCGGATTTGGGAAGTTATTGGAGATCATTTTAATAAGGTATTTGAATAAGTATAGTATTTGTTTACATTTATATTTTTCTATGTTTAAAATTTCCTTATCTAATTGAAGCCTTTTTCCTCCCAAGCAATCATGTTCTTTTTCATAATTTGGAAACCCTTTAAGTTCTGTTCTTAAAAAAGACTGCTCATGGTTTTAAGAATTTGAAGCATTTATTTCTTTGTTCAGAAATATTTTTAACATATCTAGTGCCTTCAAGAAGAACCATAGGACTTTCCTACCTGTGCTACTAATTTTATATTTTTTTCTAAGACAAAAATAAAGAATTGTAGATTTCCAACCACTGACATTAGTATCTCGTTATTTTGTTGCCATTACAGGTTGGCTGTAATCCTAATGAAGATGTAGCTATTTTTGCAGTAGACTCCTTGAGGCAGTTGTCAATGAAGTTTTTAGAGAAAGGGGAGCTTGCAAATTTCAGATTCCAGAAGGATTTCTTAAGACCTTTTGAACATATAATGAAACGGAACAGGTATTATGTTTGTTGAATGGCTTAATATCAATAAAATCTTATTATTTTCCATGGCAGAGGAAAAAATAGAAAGGGAGGAGAACCTGGAGAATTTGATCTGTATGCATATCCAAGCAATTATATTAATATTTTAGGTCTCCAACAATTCGAGATATGGTTGTACGGTGTATAGCACAGATGGTTAATTCTCAAGCTGCTAACATTCGGTCTGGATGGAAGAACATTTTCTCTGTATTTCATCTAGCAGCATCTGATCAAGATGAAAGCATTGTGGAGCTTGCATTTCAAACAACAGGGCACATTGTCAGTAAGTAGTCTTTTAACTGTATTCAAATTTTAAAAATGTTCAGATGACAATTCAAGTACAATAAGATTATGGGCTTAAGTTTACCAGATTTTGCCTACAGATCCATAGTGACAAATGGTATTATTACTACAGATAATATTTATTGAGGGTTTACTATATGGCGTGCACAATAAGCACTTTTTACGTATTTTCTTTTATAGTCACAACTTTTTATTAACCTTCCTTTAAGAAATAAATTAGGAAAGTGGCCCAGAGAGGTTAAGCAATTTCCCTCACGTCATAGAATTAAAAGGCAGGATATTTAAAGGCAGAAAGTCTTAAGGCGAAGCTTTAGTTTTTTTTGATCACTACATTGTACTGCCTCCTTTGACTTTAAAGGAGTCTGAACTACTAAGGATATAAATTAATCCTGTGTAAAAGTTGGTAATGATGAGCTGCATCAACATCAGACGTCATGACATCCTGATGGCTATCATTGTTGTTACTCGAGTTATTATTTTAAGGACTTACAATATTTGCATAGTGCTTACAACTATCTTATGCATTTATTATCTCCGTTTTATGGATTAAGAAATAGACACAGAGAGGATAAGTAATTTTATTTATTCAACAAAGTTGATTCAGTATTACTGTGTACCAGTTACTTTATGGGTGTTTGTGGATAAACAAAATGTTATGTATCTCTTTCCTCACTACTTAAGACAGGCAGGTAAGTGATAGAGATAGACTTGAACTCCCTATTTGTTGGACATCATAGCCCTTAATAACCTATAAGGAATGTGCATTACATCTAGAGACTGACATATTTTGGGTACAATTGAGAATAACTGAAAATTTTTAGTTATGTTGTTATATTTTTCTGTTTTAGCCCTTGTATTTGAAAAACACTTTCCAGCGACCATTGATTCTTTCCAGGATGCAGTGAAGTGTTTGTCTGAATTTGCGTGCAATGCAGCTTTTCCTGACACAAGTATGGAAGCAATTCGACTTATTCGCCATTGTGCAAAATATGTGTCTGATAGACCTCAGGTATAGCGTCATTTAGTAAACGAAATTTTGCTGAGTGTTTTATTTCCAATCTAAAATCTAAATTTGTTTGGAATTGAGGGCATAGAAGCATTTATTTTCAGTGAACCCAAAAATAGTCTAGACTTGCTTCTGAATTATGATGATTAGCAGTTATAATTAGCCATTATTAAAGATATCAGGTATTTTTTCTGAGTGTTTCATATGTATTCACTTGTTGAATCTTTGTAACAACTTAATGGGACAGGTGGTATTACACTACAACACAAAATAAGGAAACTAAGGCACAGAGAAGTTTTAAAATGTCCCATAGTTTCAGGGCTGATAAAGAAGAGCCAGGATTTAAACCCTAGGCCTTTGTTTTTATCATTCCCTATATTGCTGCTTATTTGCCTGTGTTCTGCAGCCCTGAGGTAAACTGACTATACATGAGTGTAGGCTTAAGCTCTAAAAAGTTCACTTGACAATCTCACTGCTAATTTTAACTTGCATATCTGAATTTTTCCTTGTAAGTATCATAAGGAAAAGTGATACATCAGATTTGGTAATAAAATTTTTAACTATATGCTAACACAGACTTATGGAATACATAGTACTTTTTCAAACATGGACTCATTTGATCACCTTCCCAGAGTGGAAAATATATGTGTGAGCTATCAGAATTATTTAAATGATAAATAGGAACCTGAATTTAATGGTTAATATTGCAGAGACCTGGTGATAGTTGAAGGTAAACCCAATTTCAGATTGTAGTTCAATGCTCTTCATAGACAGTTATAGTCTTTATCTTCTTATAAATTATTATTGTGATTAAATTGCTAGCTTTTGACTGGTAAAGCATTTACAGTTGTTTTCTTGAGAAATAATGGACTGAATATCTAGGCACTTTGTTTTGCCTTTAATAATCCTACCTTTCTTCTTGAAGGCTTTCAAGGAATACACAAGTGATGATATGAATGTGGCACCTGAAGATAGAGTGTGGGTGAGAGGATGGTTCCCAATTCTCTTTGAGTTATCCTGTATCATCAATAGATGCAAATTAGATGTAAGAACCAGGTAACAATCAGTATTTGAAATTCAAGTTTTGAAGGATGTATTTTGACTTTACCAAAAGTTCATGGTAAAATACCATAAAGCATGTATTTCATTGAATATGGTAATTACTAGTCAGATTCCAAAGTATAGTAATATGATTTTTAAATATTAAACAGAGCAAAATAAAATGAAATACATAACTTTCCTTAAAACTTGATTGTTTACTCTTGATTTTAGCTTCTTCTTTTTTTTTTTTTTGGTGCCAGGGATCAAACTGGGGACCTTGCACTTGCAAGGCAGGTGCCAGAATTAGCTTCTAATTTAATACTTTAAACACTGTTTCTTCATACATTAAAACTGAGGTTAATGGAAAAATTCATTTCTTAGTAAACAATAAAGGGTTTTGTTTTTTGTTTTTTGTTTTTTGGAACTGGGGATCAAACTCGGGTCCTTGCGCTTACGCAGCAGGCGGGGAAACCACTGAGCTAAATCCTCGGCCCCATAAAGAGTTTTTAAATGCACATACTTGGTAGTTTTGAATAAAAACCATTTAAGTATGGTCAGCATAATTTTGAATAACAACGATCTATTCAAAAAATTTTCAAAAATGGTATTCCCAGCAAATGTTTGGTGGTGCATGTCTATAATCCCACCACTGTGAGAAACTGAGACAGGAGGATCGAAAATTAGAGTTCATCCTGGGCAGCTTAGCAACTGAGTAAGGCCATGTCTCAAAAGAAAAAAAAAAATTAAAAAGGGCTAGAGATACAGCTCAGTGTGAAGGCACTGGGTTCAATCCCCATTACTGCCCCCCTCCTGCTGGAAAAAACTGTTCCCAATAAAAGAACTATATGAACATATATAGTCAGTTTATAAAGGAATTATTACATATATTAATATGTAATGGGATAAGTGCTTAGTACACTATTTTATGTCACCTAAGTACAGTTTTTCTTACCCTCTACTTTTTGACCCCCATATGATATGGCCAGCTTAGGTGTCCTAGTATATTTCAACAAATATTTAAGCCTGTCCTGAGTTTGATTTTATATTATACAATCCCCTTTCAACTAATCATTTGTTACTTAAGTGTATATCTCAATTTTTTAAATTATAACTGTACCACAGAATTGTACCAAGGCAATGTTAGAAATGTCAGAGCCATAAGGTTAAATTTGAATTATGACCTAAGAATTTTTTCTGTGGCACTATTTCTTATAACAATTTCTTGTGAAATGGCTAATCCAAAATAAGACTCAGACTTTAGGGATTTGTCCTAAAACTCAGTAATTACAAGGACATTATAAAACATTTTATTTTATATTTAGGCATGGTAGATTGTTTAGCAGTAGGAACCTAGTAGGAACTTGTTAAAAATAGCCCTGATTAAAATGTCCAGCCACGTTACTTATTTGTAGAAATCTGTTTGATGGAGTACCTATCTAATTCTTTAGCCTATCCTTACCTAGATCTGTGATTCCTTTTTTTTTTTTTTGGTACCGGGGATTGAACTCGGGTCCTTGCACTTGCGCAGCAGGGGCCGAAACCACTGAGCTAAATCCCCAGCCCGATTCCTTGCTTCTTAATTAAATCCCATGTTCAGATTATGGGTGGGTTTTAGTTCTTAGAGAAAGTTCTTAGTTCTTAGTTCTTAGTTCTTAGAGAAAGAGTTACTGTATGTATGTGTTCCAGTTAGAGGAGAAAGAAACTCTGAACTTTCCTTAGTGATGGCCTTTGATTTTTCTTACCTTACCTCAGGATTTGTGTGGGCTGTTATTTAAATTACATTTTAAAATTCAACCCTGTGATTTGTGTAAGACCATAATTACAAAGAACTTTTACATTCATTCTCCTTTGACCCCTCCAAAATTCTGTAGATTTGGAGTTAAATAATTAACCTAGAATCCCCCCCACCACCACCCATTTTTTTTTCCCTCTACACTAGCTACTCAAGTATTACATTAAAAAGAAACAGTAAAAGTCTTTGGAGACTGTTGATTTCTCTGTCTGCTTTGAAGTTAAGGATGGGAATATAGAGGGATTGCATACATCTCCTTATCTTCAGTCATAGGAGGTAGTACCCTGTAACAGTGGGAGGGAATGGACTTCAAGGTCAGCAGATGGAGAAAGAAAAGCCGTACATATCCCAGTGCAAGGGGGAAACTATGAGTCTAGCCTCTAGTGGCAGAACTCTGACAAGTGTCTTTGCTACAATGTCTGCTACTGCTTATATTCCATATTGGGCATCTTAAGGATCAAAGAGACTGTTGTAAACCTGCCATAGGACAGAACATCCTGTAATGTTTTACACATTCACATGGAAAACATTTGTTAAAAACCTATGATACCTGTCATCCCAGCACTTTGGAGGCTGAGGCAAGAAGATCACCATGAGTTAGAGGCCAGCCTGAACTACATAGCGAGACCCTGTCTCCAAAAAGAAAAAAAAAGAACCTATTACATACCAGTTATGTGCTAACCCTAGATTAGCACAGCATCAAGTGAGCTAGACTGTGTACCGGTCTTTATAAAACCTTTCAGAGAAAATTCTCTTCTAGTTAAAACAGACTTTTCTGGAAACAACCTTTTCTAAATTGAAGGATTCCTAAATTTTGCCTGAAAAATGTAACACATACAGAAAAGGTCAAACTTTTTAATAGTTTTATAAAAGTATTATTTCAAGAAAGAAAATAAAGAATCAAGGAGACAGTGAACAGTTTGTTTCTTCCAAAATACTGAAATGTTTGCCACCTAGGTGATGAGCACTGCTTTTAGCCATAGGATACAACAGGAAACAAAACAAATGCAGACCCCTTGCCTTATGGACTTTACATTTTAGTGGTGTCATTTCAGAAATCTTTTTTTGTGGGAATTTTATAAGAACAAGGTTTATAGCGTTAGCTAAAAATTCCCATAGCCATTTGAAAAGATATTTCTCAACATCTAATTGCCGTGTGTTCTTAGCTTGTTGTGAATGCAATTCTTCCTTGGTCATATAGCCACAAAATTAATATTCACTCAAATGATGATCTTTTTTGACCTGCAATTTAATTTAGTTTTAAAGTGCTAGAGTGGTATGAATAAAAGTAAAAAGCAAACATAGGGCTGAAGCTTTTGGACTTACTCCTGAATGGTGTATTTTAAAGAAACCTGTTTTCAATTTAAATTTCTTGAAACAAAACCCAGTATCATGTATTAGTTAAAGACTAGTGGTAAACTTTCTGTTTTAGTAGCTTTGTAAACTGTAAGAACTATCTTAGGAAAGGGACATTCTTTTATATTGTAGCTTTCCTAATTATATTTTTGTCATTTTAGGGGTTTAACAGTAATGTTTGAAATAATGAAAACATATGGCCACACATATGAAAAGCACTGGTGGCAAGATTTATTTAGAATTGTTTTTAGAATCTTTGACAATATGAAATTGCCAGAACAGCAGACAGAGGTAAGAGAACACAATTTTCATTCAGCATAATGAAATGTCAGAACTATAAAATACCAGTTACTTAGTATTATATAGTTGACTTCTGAATTGAGTAAAGAATACAAAGTAAAATGTACTTTTTTTATTTCAGTGTATTTTACTGCAAACCAATTATAGTATGTATTTCAGGCAGTGTGGAGAGAGCACTTCAGATTTACCATTTTGTGTATATAGCATAATTAAATGCAGACTTCTGCAATTGTCCTTTATGTGTTTAAAAAAAAAATGAAATTACTTACACTTATTTTATATAACCTTTCTTAGTGGTGTTTTGAAGTAACCATATTTGAAGAGCTGGTTTTATTTCAAATTTATGGTAATACCACTTGAGTAAGATTTTAATTTTTCTTTGTATTTCCTTGTTCTGTCATATCTAAAGCAAAGCCAGCTGTTATTATTCATAATGTTGTTTGAAAAGTCACAATGTTAATATCATGGGGCTGTAGTGTTCTTTTTTTATTAATCAAATAGTACAGAAAATAGCTAAATCACTTCATATGTAGTAATATCAAATATTAAGTTGGTGAATACAATGTTTATAGAAAGTGCTCTTGGGTCAGGGATTTAGGGTTCCACTGCCTGCCTCACAAGTGCAAAGTCCCGAGTTTGATCCCTCGTACCAAAAAAATGAAAAAAAAAAGAAAGAAAGAAAGTGCTCTCAAAGGAACATTAACAGTCTTAATGTTTTAAATGTTCAAATGCATATCTCTTTTAAGTGTTGTAGTTGGTATGATCTTAGTTTAATGACTTTCTTTTCCCCCAGAAAGCTGAATGGATGACAACAACTTGTAATCATGCACTTTATGCAATCTGTGATGTATTTACCCAGTATTTAGAAGTTCTCAGTGATGTACTTTTGGATGATATTTTTGCCCAGCTATACTGGTGTGTGCAGCAAGGTAGGTCTGTACTAGCTATGTGACACAAAGTGTTATGTGTGACTCTGGTAATATATAAGTGAATTGCTCTTTTCTTTTCTAGACAATGAGCAGTTAGCACGATCTGGTACAAATTGCTTAGAAAATGTTGTTATTCTGAATGGTGAAAAATTTACCCTAGAAATCTGGGATAAAACTTGTAACTGCACACTGGATATCTTCAAAACCACAATCCCACATGCGTAAGATTTTTTATAACTTACACTTATTTTTTTATATTATATGCAGTTTTCATATTGGAGAAATTAAGAGATGGTTTGGCCAAATGACTGATAGCACTTGAATTATTGGTAGGACAGACTGGAAATTATTACCTAGCTCAACCCTGGGGATGGATGATCTGTACATAGTTTTGTCTAATACTCATAATTTTTAACTCTTCAGACAGACTCATTCTTGAAACAACTTAGTAGACACATGGGTATCTGCTGGCATAAAACCATATGTGACAATTATTAATTAGTCCAGATTTTTAAGCCTCATAAACTTTTTCTTGATATGAGTTAAATGTTTGCACTCTTGTAGTTGCCTAACAAGAATCATCAATAGTTAATAGAACCCAGACTTGGTGACACCTACTGAGTAATACCAGCTACTCAAAGGGCTGAGGCAGGATCACAAGTTCAAGACTAGCCTGGACAATTTAGTGAGACCTTATTTCAAACTAAAATTTAAAAGGGCTAGGAGGGCTGGGGATTTAGCTCAGTGGTTCCACCACCTGCCTCGCAAGTACAAGGTCCTGAGTTTGATCCCTGGTACCCCCAAAAAAGGGCTGGGAATATAGCTTAGTGGTACTATACATGAAGCCATGGGTTCAGTCTCCATTACCACACGCACGCACTCACACACAGTGGAAGTCAACCAGAAGAAATACACCCTTAGAAAAGCAGTCTGTAGGTAGGACTACACTGAAAGGACACACAGCTATCTCTTTGAGAATTTCCAAATTCGTATATTTTCTGATGCATTTTCTATCAGAGCATTATAACTGACAAATGATGCACATATGTCAGAGTTTATGTATGCCACTTATGTCAAAGACAGTGTGTATTCTTGTCTCCCAGTTGTCCTTATGACATCTTCCCAAAAACCAAGTAGGCCAAGCATTCAGTTTTTATAAGACCTGCATCTGTTTTAATTTATTGAGTTACACAGGACATTATATGTGACCTTAAATATTATGTAGTAAACATCTCTTTCTAGATGATATCTGTGATAGAAAGTACTTGCATCCCTACACATTCCTTATCAAACTGGAATGATCTATGTGCTGTCTGTCTGCCCCGTTGCCCCAGAGCTCTTGTGCTTCTCAGAAACAAAAACTTGGACCTTAGTTGACTTTCTGCCCCAAACACTTAATTTAAGGGTGGCAAGTTAATTTCTCTCTGGGGCCAAATGTTGCTTTATGTATTTTTATACCTTTTTTATAAAATAGAATCTGAAGAGTTACATGAACTTTGATTTTTTTTAATTTTAATTTTATGATTTTTTTTTTAAGTCTCAAAACTTTTTTTTAAATCTTAGGAAAACGTTTGAAAACATTAAAGCTAAGAAAAAAGTAGATTTAAAGTTTTGGAAAATTTTCAAAAAGTGTATTTTACTGTAAAACTAATGGCAAGATTATCATTCTAATTATAGTGGTACCTTGGTTCAGGAACTTAATTGTTTCCATGATTCTGGTCACAAACCCAATTGCAAAAATCAAATCAAATCAAATTCATGGGTCACATTCAACCTTATGGAGAAATCTTATTCGGTGACCTTTTATGACTGTTTCAAAATATGTTGGGTATGGGATGTGGCACACATGGTGACTGGTGATTTTGGTATCTTAAAGGCTCCTGACCTGGCGTCCTACTTCTGAAGAAATAGCTCCTCCACCCCCATCTCCTGTGAGTGAAAAACAGTTGGTAAGTAAAATAAACCATATTTTAAATTATGATAAGTAATTTTACCATGAATCAAATTCTTATAAGTTTTGTAGTTTGTTCTTACTGCTGTAAGTACCTGAGGCTAGTTAAATTATAAATAATAGAAATTATTTTCTCAGTGCTGGAGGCTGGGAAGCCAAAGATTAAGGTAGCTGCAGATGGTATTTGGTGAGGGCTGCTGTGTGCTTCCAAGATGGTGCCTTGTTGCTGCATCCTCACATGGCAGAAGGCAGAGGGGCAGAAAATGGCCTAGCTAGTTCCCTCTACCCCATAAAACACTGATCCTATCCATAGGGATAGCACCCTCATGGCCCAGTCAGCTCCTAAAGGTCCTACCTCTTAATACCATTTGTTGAGATCACATTTCAACGTGAATTTCAGAGGAATACAAACTTTCAAACTGTAGCAGCAAAACCAACTCCAAAATTCTCATGCTAAATTTTCTGGTGGTAAATTTCACAGATCCATGGAGGAGGTATTTAAAAATTACTCTTTACTAAAGAACATGAGTAAAATGATTTCAAGTGTTGTGAATGGCAGGTAGTAGATTACATAGGGATTTTAATTGTAATCTGAAGATATTATTAAATGTTATTTAAATTTCTCATTTTGATATGATTTCATCTTACAGAAAAGTGGCAAAAATAGTACAAGAGATTCCAGTATACTTTTATGCAGTGTATTACTTCCTTTGGCTGCTATAACAAATTATCACAAACTAGGTGGCTGAAGTTCTGTGGTTTTTGTTGTTTATTTTTTTGTTTGCGGTGCTGGGGATTGAACCCAGGGAGCACTGAGCTATATCCTGAACCTTTTTTTATTTAATCTTGAGAACAAGGTCTCACTAAATTTCCAGGCTAGCCTCAAACTACCAATCTTTATGTTTATGCTTCAACCACCCAAGTAGCTGAAACTTGGCTGGTGGGTGAAGTTCTAAAAACAAAAGATTCAAAATTAAGTAGTAGGCAAGGCCATTATGTTCCCTCTGAAAACACTAGGAAAATACCCGTCTTTGCCTCTTTCATCTTCTGATGGCTCTTGTGAGTGTTTGGCATTCCTTGTTGTCCATACATCACTCTGATCTCTGCTTCCATCTGAACATGACCTTCCCATCTGCTTATGTGTCACATCTCTCTCTTATCTCTTTTATGACAATGTCAGTTACTTAGGGCATACCCGAAATCCAGGATGATACTGATATCCTTAAATTAATTTCGTCTCTAAAGTCTTGATTTCCAAGTAAAATAACATTCACAGGGACCAGCGTTTACAACGTGAATATATCTTTGGGGGGCCACTAGAGTCTGCTCTTGGCAGATATTCATGTTTATACCATGTTTATACAATGAAAGATATTCACTCCATCGTAAGATTGCCAAATATCTTAACCTAGTATAGCATCAGCACAGTCCAAAATGTCGTTTAAATATCATCATATCAAAAGTCTCAACTCTCAGTCATCTACATCACAAATGGATTAGGCATTGAATATGATCTCTGCTTGGACAAAATTAATCTCCATCTGTGGACCTATAACCCTAAAAAACATTACTTCTTCCAAAATGTAATTGTGGATTAGGAAGATAAAAAAAAAGGTGACCAATCTTAATCAAGTTCAAAGCCCAGTGGAACAAATTCCATTAAGTTTTGAATCCTGACAATAATGCTCTATCACTTGATATTCTACCTTCTGGGCCCAGGGCTGCTCTCTCTGGCCCTGCAGCTCTGCCTTTTGAGCCATCCTTCTCTTCTTTACTTAGCACATGTGTAAGCCAAGTAGTTCTGCCAGCACATTTCCTGCCTGTAATCCTAGAAGTCTGACAACTTTCCTTTATTTCATCCCCTTTCTGTCACTTTCCATTTAATCTAGCTTTAAGTCCATTGGTATATTCTCAAAATCATTGTGAGTCTCCTGTGTTTGTTAAAGGGATCCATGCCTTTAAACAAGGGTTATCCATAGATCTTTCCTGGATTAACCTTACTCTGTTTATGGCTTCTGATGAGATGCTCGGTTTTTATTATGAGGCTCCTTTTCCATTAGTCACATACTTAATCTCTTCAGTGAAAAGTTGTCCAACTATAACATTTATCCGGTCATATCATTTATTAGCTTTCCCAACACTGACTTTCCTAATTTTACTGTCATTTGCAATCTGCATAGGCTGAGATCTTCCCAAATCATAAGTGTTAGTTCCTTTTGCTTCAGTTCTTTTCTCAATTTATCTCTTCCTTGCTGCATTTTACTATAAGTAGCAAGAAGTCAGGCTACACCATTAACATTGCTTAGAAATCTCCTTAGCTACGTATCACTTAGCCAACTTGATTGATCACTTACAAATTCTGCTTCCACCCAATAGAATAGCACAATTCAGCAGTTTTCTGCCCCTTTATAATAAAGATCATCTTTTCGTCAATATCTAGTGACATATTCTTGATTTCTTTCTGATAACTCACCAGAAGCATCTGTTAGTATTCATATTTCTATCAGTATCCTATTGTTGACTGTATATTCTCTTAATAGAAACTTTCTCTACTATGCATTTCACTTCCGAGTCCTCACCAGAATTGCATTTAATGACCATTTTTTCTATCAATAATGTCTTCAAGGCAGTCTCTGTTTCTGTTATATTCCACAAAACTCTTTGAGCCTTTCCTTTACCCGATTCCAAAAACACTTCCATAAAAAATAAAATATAAAAATCTATTATGAGTCAGGGCACTACCAGAGAAATAGAACCAGTAAGGAAGATACACATAACATATTCAAGGAATTGGCTTAAGTATTGTGGGAGTTGGCAAATTCGAAAACTGTAGAGGAGGCCAGCATTCTGGTAACTCAGAAACAGCCTATTGTCCACAGACAGGATTTCTTCTTCTGCAGGAAAACAGCAGTTATGCTTTTTCCAGTGAGTCTCTTATCAGATTATTAAAAATAATCTTCTTTAATGAAATCAACTGGCTGTGGATAGTAACCATAGCTATGAAACACCTTCACACCACCACCTAGGTTAGCATTTACTTGAATTGTTAGTCCTTTGTCTTAAGTATACAGGACTTTGTACTATGTCCTGGCCAAGTTGACATAAAACTAACCATTCATTATACCAAGTTTCTGTTACCATTTTTCATTAGATTATCATTCCTTCCTTCTCTCTTTTTTTTTTGTCACTCTCCTGCCCCTCTAAAGAGTTTTCTAAGTTCTTTGATAATAATGTGTAGGGCCGGGAATTTAGCTCAGTGGCAGTGTGCCTGCCTAGCATGCACAAGGTACTGAGTTTGATTCCCCTTACCGAAAAAAAAAAATTTATAAAGAAAATAATGTGTAAATAGCATGTCCTTTTAATCCCTAAATTTTTTTATAGTATTTCTTTAAGGGGGGGGGAAAGATCTTCTATAACTATAGTTACTAGCATCTTGAAAATTGTCATTGAAACGATACTGTTACCTTATCTTAAGCCTTATTCAAATTTGTGCTGTTTTCCTATTTCCAAATTTGTAATGCCCTGGAATTTTAAACCCAGAGATTGTAGGTAACAAAGTAATTCCCACAGACTTTGACCCTTACAACTTTTTTTTTTGCTTAAATTCTTTTATTGGTACATTATAGGTATACAGTACGTTTACATTTATCATTGGGTGCTTGTACCTGTACATGATGTATCTTGGTTCTTATTTTTTCCCCATTACCTGTGTGCCTTTCACCCCTCCAC